TGCAACTTTTGATATGTATTTGATCACCTTACATTTAGCAATAGCATTATAAAATCTTGTGCATATCATCAAATACACGAGGTTGTTTACATCTTCATCATACAAATTTAAGTACATTTAACACATTTTAATGTTATTATTTATATATTAAACTTCAAAAAAATTAAAATGTGTTGCCACAAAATTTCATATTATTTTGAATTTTTTCATGCTAAACATGTGATTAGATATTCATTTATACTTGATGTCAAATGTTTACTTTGCACAAAGATGAAATAAATCGTTATTAGATGTCTAATAACAAATACAACTGAACAAAATTATTATTGAAATGAGAGTAGAAGTTTGTCAATCTACAAAATGACAATCACAATGCAGTTCACCAATCAAATGATGAATAATAAAACAAAGCACATTGACTTGAATAATCATTTTTTTCAAGTATTCAAAATTAAAGTTAAACTTCACCAAGTTAATGCATTTATCAAAGTTATTACTTTGAATAGCTATGTCTATTTGTAGGTTTTGCATGAGAAGCACGCAACAAATTTACTGCAAATATTATAAATTATATATATTACTAATCCTATCATATTTTGACGATGGTTTAATGATTGAATAGTTATAGTTTGCAAAATTAATTATGTTAGGATTTTGTAAAAAAATGTCACAAAGAATTTTTATTTTGATTATAGAGACCGTGGTTTTGAAAACATGGTTTTTAAGATGATATTGTTGTAAGCTATTTTAATTTTTGATTTTATTTATATTAGAATAACCTAAGTTAGTGAAATTGGTTGGATTGTCACTAAATAAGATAATTTGCAAAAGCTCTCAATAACATTTTTTAGACGTTTTTTCATGTAAGGCATAATAACATGTTTTATTCAAATAAATTTTTTATAAAAAAGTGTATTTCTGTTCAGATTTTATATATAAAAAAGACTAAGAGTTCATTGACTGGGTTCAGAAAATTAAAGTTTTATCAGAACTTTAGATATATTTTAACATATTTTATTATTATACCCAATAAAAATCATTTATTTAACAAAAAATAATAGATGCAGACAAAACTTAAAGTTGAATCTATACATTATATAAAGTTCTCGCAATAAAAAATTTTGCCCAACAAAGTAAATTTGTATAAAAAACATTAATGAAGAACATAATAAATCTTGATGTTAACAAATTTGTGACTTATTGATTAGATTTATTTAAAATATGTTTACTAAATCTTTGTGATTAAAGATAATTTTATTGCTCATTTTTATAGAAATTTGAAAAAAATATTTTGACTGTAATTTTATCAAAAGTAAAATACGATATTCATCATTTAGTTTATGAAATTAGCTTGACAAATATACATTTCTGATGAAAACCAAAAAATGTAAAAAACATAATTATTTCCTACAAAATAATTTGAACACATGATTTATTTGTTTAGTCTATACACAACAATCTATCTAGTTTTCATTGCTACAATACATTTTTCAATTATATTTGTATGATGTTCATATATATATATATATATATATATATATATATAAGTTTTACAAAATGTAAGATTGATTTTAGTTAAAAAAATAAGTATAAAAATTTGAAATTTAATATTACACTATTAAAAGCACATATGTTAGAAACAAAAAGTTTACTTTGAAAAAATTATATTTTGATTTAACTTTGAAAAATATAAATAAATTTTATTAATTTAAATCATAACTAATTCAAGAAAATATAACTTGAAATGAACAGAATTTTACAAAAATAATTTTTATTATATAGTATAATCAAAATACATGGTGTTCTTTTTTCCAAGCAATAAATTCATACATTTGATATTTAAATCAATTCAATTTTAACAACAAATTCAATGCTTTTATATAATGTATAGTAAATTCTGACACAAACTAATGTTAAGAGTTCAAACAATTTTTTATATGAGAATTGAAACTGATACTGAAAAAAAGTATCATGGAGGGCTCTAGTACTTGGTCACACAAATAAGATTGCGTGAAATCAATCACACAAATTAATTAACAAATGCTTAACATGTATTGATTCGAGCGATTGAGACTAGTATTGAAACTTTCTTTATACCTAGCTCTACTTTATTACAGAAATAAATTGACATGAAATCAGTCACTATAATTAATAAAATGGCACACTAAGCAAAGAATCATTATTGTACACGTTGAAATGAACAAACTGATTTTTTTTGAATTTATTAATTATCACTGGAAAGGGATTTTATTAGATAAATTATTTGTTTGAAAACACTTTATAAACAAAAATTTTTAAATTTTAAAGTTACGATCATCTTTGAAAAATCAAATAATTTCAGACTATGTATTTCTTTAAAGAATAATAAATTAAAATCATAACAATATAAAAATTATACCACAATTGTCTTACAAATTTCAATGTCCAATAGTGTTTGGCCCGTGTGTTTGAAGTCACAATGCATGCTTAATAGCGCATAGACACAATGTACGATAGGCTACAGTACATCAGATCTTACATTTTGCAATGTATTTTGTTTGATAAATTGGGTTTAGTCTATGTGATCAACACAAGTAAATTATTGAAAATTTTAATTTTGATATCTAGCACGATTTAAATACAAAGTGATTTTTTTAGTGACAATATGTTTTAAAAGATTATATGTATGACGTTACTATAACCCATTATTCATTGGGTTGTAATTCCTTGGTTAAATTTGCACTTAGATTTGTAAGTTGTGGATAGGAGAGATAGGAGTAGCAAAAATACAAAGAGTTTCAGAGGTGACCGGAACTTAATTTTTTGGAAATTTTGTCTAATCATAGTTAGAATGGCAAGATCCCATCAAGCGGTTTACGAGATGAAAACAAATAACATCGGGTAAGTGTCAAGAGAGAAAACTTTCCCGATGCCTCCTAGTATTATCCCGTGTACGGTCCCCATCTTCAAGAAGCTATTGTTGCCATGCGCACCGTCCCGTGTGTTCCAACTCGGTGCCAAATGGGAGAGTTCCGGGATTATCTACGTCTGTATAGCATTCCGAACATTATGTATTGCTCCCTCTCTCTGGACTGTCTGCACTAGACTGGAAACAGGGGTAACCAGTGACCAGCTCTGCCATTGTAGGTTGAAGCTTTCGAGGGCAGCGGGGCTCGGTGCAAACTATGGTCGGGAAGCTAGGCTTGGCCACGGTCCGTTAACCGCTTCAGAAAAAAAATGGACCGGTCCAGGGTTAGCCCGTATCTGTTAACCGATATTTTAACTGGTCAGTCTTGGCCACGATCGGTTTACGGTTAATCTTTCTTCTTCTTGATTGATTGGGATGCAAGAAAATATTCAAACTTTTAAATTACTATCTGTGATATTAAATATATGTTAGATATCTTCAAATTAAGATAAGATTTATTTTATCCAAATAGACCTAGACCCATTTTAAGAACATTTAATATTCGAAATTTTAACAGAAAAATTTGAAGATTCCTTACCAAAGTCTTACGAGTATGAAAAAATTAGTTTTGATGGTTATGATGATATCATAGGGCACCAAGTGAGTTATAATTATAATGATAAAAAATTCTAGAGATTATAACATATTTCAGAGAAACAAAACCTGATGTAATTGCTCTCATAAAGTTTGCATCAACTATTGCTCTTTATAAAAACATGGATAACAAGGACGGATAGAAATAAATCGAATAACTTAGACAAGAATCAAGATGGATTATTCTTGCGGACTTTGTCATAAATTTTAGGTGCAGACTAGTGCCACACCCGTATTTGATACAGCCACACCCGCTACGTACAAACAACTGATTGCGCGTCAAAGCACGACTCCCCTCAAACCCAGCTGCTAACCCTAGCTCGTTCGCGAGGCAGAGGAGAGCGTAGTCGAGGGGCGCGGAGCGCTGCGGCCGTCGCTGTCTCCCGCGTTGCTGAGGCTTGGGTAGTAGCAAAAGCGAGCACGGGTATGGTAATTAGCGGGCGGGTGTGACCGTAGCAAAAACGTGTGTGGCCCTAGTCTGGCCATAAATTTTAACATAAACTTTCAGGAAATATTTAGCTTAACATGTTAGCTTCATGAACTTCAAAAGCTAGATGGCGAAAAAGTTGATTTTTTTTTCTTATCTTAATCTTTTTGATAACTGATTGCGCTCGGGACAATGAGGGAGTTAGTGAAGTGAAACCGAGTCGTGTCAATTGCTGATTGGAAACTATTTCCATTTTATCTAGAAAAATTTGGGATCGGTTAAACCAGACCCACCGTTAACCGTCAGTCCGGACCGTGGCCAACCCTACGGGAAGGTTTCTCGTAAGCAAGGTCTGGTTAACGGGTTCAAGAAATTTGTGGACCGGTTCAATTAACCGGTTAACCAATAGTTTAACCGGACCGGACCAACCCTAACACGCTTCAAATTGTGTGCAAAGGAACACTCGTGGACTAATAGTTTATCAAGTACAGCACCTTATTCCGACGGTCGGCTAAACTCCCGAATTCTTGCGACGAACTCGCGGTTGCCACGGTTATTCGACGGTGCGACAACGACGTTCAGCAGAATCCTGTCATCCGTCCTTGCACAGGTCGCACCTCGTAAGCCTCGATCGTCACAGCAACAGGTGACATATTTGCGCAATTTGACGATCATCGGCACGAGAGCAACTAAAATTCTGAAGCTGATTGAATTCCGAATTGAGCGCTCGATTCCTTCATAATCCTTCGTCTTGAGTTCAGGGTTCGTGTGGAGCCCGTCAATACATTTCCCTCTTGCGATGAGGCCGAAATCAGGCTAAAGGTGTGATAATGAATATCTCATTACACCGAGTCACGAATTGGGTACCTACAGTTTTGGTACCCATGGATTGTGAAGATTCAAGACTCGGACGGGAGCTTTTTTTCCCGGACCGGTTAACCGGTCCGGACGGTTGATCGGTTAACCGTCGGTCCGGACCGGACCGTGGCCAAGCCTATTCTTATGGGAAGCCACACCGTGCAGAAGAGCGGAGGACTTCATTGGTAGCCCAGGATTCGAAACCCCATGTTGGGTTAGGTTGGGCACCCGGTCAATGGCTCGTCCTCCTCGGGACGTCTTGCGAGCACTGGCCTTCTAGATGCCAAGACGAGGCAAGGTCGCAGCGATCGTAGTGATCGTAGTGAAGTGATTCCGCGCCTCCTCAGTGATTGGCCCAAAGGGCGATAATGAGTGCGACGGCGCCAACGCAGAGCCGTCATGAATCGTGGCAGGGATAGATATTGCTTAGTGCCGAGGAGCGTTCGCGGGCAAGGAGAGTGAACGAGTGAGCGCGCGCATGCGAGGCAGTCGGTCAATTGGGTATCACGGAGGAGAGCGCGAGGACAGCAGGAAGAGAAAAGCTTCGAAACTCGTGTAGTGTCGCGCGGTGATGGAGAAATCGAATCGTCCGTGTAAGTGTGCTCGCTCGCGAGCATGAAGTGCGGGCAAGTTGCGCTGACAAGTTCTGACATGATTGTAGTGCAATGTTCACCGCTGGGCAGGCATGCAGGCCTGGCCCATGCTCAGGCGAATTTGATTTGTTGCTATGCGTCGTGATTGTAACCCAGTGGCAGCCGGTCTCACGGGAGCTGCGGGGCAGCAATGATGCAGATCCTGAGGTTTCAGTTGCCTTGTCTCCCCCGACGAAGCGCGCTCTTGGTTGCCAAGCATTCTTCGCTGCAGCTCGAATTGCGCCTCCCCCCGTCACGACGTGCTCCGAGTCAGAGCCCCCCGTGGTCACCAGCACGAGCAGCAATTCAGCTCGGCCACCGGCGAGCAGCATCGACCAAACCCACGCAGGCATGGCGACGAGCGCGCCTCTCGGCTCTACCTCGGCCATCATCATCGTCGAGTCGTGAACTGGGCAACTCCGAGCGGAGCGCTATGCTGAGGAAGCTCAGCATCTGCACGGGCTGGAAGTCAGCGAAGAGAAGTCATACGACGATCCGCACATCGCCACAGCTCAGGAAGGATGGCCCGGGAGCACAGCGAAGCGAGGACGAGAGTGCTCCGAATTCGGTGGAGAAATCAGAGGTCGACGACGAGGGCAGGGTCTGCGCGGCGGTTGCCAGCACCAGCGAGAAGCAATGGGACGATGTGATTCCATCGGAGGACGCCACCTTCCTCGCGTCGATCATGACGCGATACAATTTCATCCGCGTGTTGGAGGTGGCCAAAACGTCGGACCATCCCATGGCCGGCGCCAGAGTGCTGCTCCTGGACAAATTCGGGAACGTGCACAGCTTGTACCACGAGTACCGATTGCTCACCGATTCCTACTACGATGTCTTCCCCACGCTCCCGGCCATCATTCCCGACGGCCCGATTGGCATTTTCGGCCTCGCGGCAGGCACCGCCGCGCGCCTCATCCACTACTTCTGGCCGGACCGCGACATCTATGGCTGGGAGCTGGACCCGGCCGTCGTGTACGTCGCGAGGAAGTACTTCAGCCTGGAAGAGCTCGAGTGCTCGCACGACTTCCATCGCCCTGGCCCGATGGAGCTTGGCCCGATGGAGGAGGGGGGCTTCGTCGGCCCCGCGAGCTACAGGAAGTGGAAGAGGGACCATGGCAGCAGCGTGTTCGCGCAGAATGGCGGCGGGCGTCGGGCCGACGGGAGGCTGAGGGTGGTGATCGGCGACGCCCTGAGCGCCGACGCTGCGGTGCACGGGGGCTTTGCGGGACTCATCGTGGACCTCTTTGCGGAGGGAGCCGTTGTGCCGGCGCTGCAGGAGCCCGGCGTCTGGCGGGCGATGAAGGAGAAATTGCGACCGGGCGGTCGGATTATGATCAACTGCGGAGGGTCGTGCGTCGACGCCGGCGTGGGGAAGAAAGACGGCCGCATCACCATGGAGGAGACGGTGGCCGCAATTGCGCGAGAGTTTCCGGGTCAGTTGTCGGTCCTGCCTCTGCGCCGTCGTGGTGATAATTACATCGCGCTGACTGGCCCTCCGCCGGATCTCGAAGCCTGGTGCCACTGTCTTCCCGAATGCTTGCAGGTGGGTTGCGCGGATTGGCTCCCCGTCAGCGACACGGGCACAATTGCCTCTGCCTCTCAGGCCGTCGACTAAATCCCCAATTCCGCTATCGTTCCACGAGACCAACTCTTTCGTCATCCACCGCAGAGCTTCTTCGTCCTCGATTTCGTGATGTGACCCGAACACTCCATCGCCGCTAGCGAAGAACCGATGTTGTGGTTCTCACTCAGACCTTCATTCTGGACTCGGCAACTGTGGCTGTCCTTCAGTGAACCTTTGGTCTTCCACCGATCGGCCGAAGCGCACGCTTCAAGCTCTGTCTAATCCACGCGTCGTTGAGATGATCTTCAAGGTCCTCCAGCAGAGGCTTTCTTCTTATGGACCGTCCTGTGGAGCAAGTGAGCAAGTGTTCAGGCACGAGATACCTGACTTTGGACGAGTCGGAGAAAGTGGATCCGCGAGCCCCTCTGTGTATGTGAGGAAGGAGGAACACGTGCCAACGAGAACAGGAAGTAGAGTCACTGGATTATGTGGATATATTCGTGCTCAATAGTCGTGCCAGATTGACGAATGTACAGATACGTCGACGTATCCCCTTCATCGAAAAAGCAGTACGTTCTCCTCTGAGGGATCGCGCATTCGAGGCTCAGAAGAGGTCGTAGGGGTTGCTCTCGCATTCTCCCTACTTGAATTTTGTTCATGCTTGATGTACCTGTTTGAGCCTGTGTTGAGATCTCGCGATGGTTTGAGGTCTTTTCGGGAATTTCCCATGAATCTGTTCACGTGCCCAAGACAATGTGAATTTGAGTTTTCACTGGCGGGAACAGATCAGAAAAGAAGTAGAACTCACGTTTCTCACGGCTGTGATCACTTCTTTTAGGATCAAGATCCTATTATCCGCACCCTCTTAGAGGAGATGTGTTCAATAGAGGTGCGTCTCTAGGTAGAGTAGAAACAAAAGAATGAAACCTTATGAGGTCTAACCCTAGAAGGTGTAGCCCCATCTTTGAAGAAGTTATGGGCATCCCAACCAGGAAGAACATCTTACGCTGGCTACTCGTGGCTTTACCTTCCATCTACAGGTATGACATATAACACTGGGAAATTGTTCGGTAGGCAGAATTACTGTGGGGAGGAACTCTCCAATGTCAATGTTTTGATAAGAATGTTTACCAGTTTCGTTCTTCCAGTGAAAAACCCCACCTCTCCCTTGGGCCAATTGTCAGTTCCTGTTCATATGCTCACAGTGGATATTTATACGACGAAGGTTAAAACGGCGGGCAGTAATGACAGGAAGTGATACCGATGTACTAATTCATAAAGACAGATGAGCACGTTCGACGTGAATGAATATGGAAATTTTCATATGCATTTTTTGGTGTACCACAATGTTCATCATCGCAAAACCCTGTAATGAAAATATCTTTTTGAGACATATTTTTCTTTCAATTCAGAGTTTCATTGCAACATGTCCACCGCAAGAAAACTTTGATGAGAAAAATTGGTGTACATTGTTATATCTACAATACCGTGAACGTCTGACAATATCGAACCCACGTTCACAGAGAACTTCGCTTCTTCACGACTAGCAAACCCATGTCAGCATCCACTAATTTCTCCGTCCCACTGGATGACTAGCTGCGTAACATCTCTACCATGATCATGGACGATCATCGGCGTCATAAGACTCGGTGTCACTCGACACCGAACTTGTGACAGCCCACCAAAAGCTGACAGAAAAGCTCGGACTCAACGACTTGACGTAGTGCCACCATTTGGGTGGTATATACAACATGTCTCCTTCCTCCAGGATATACTCCATGCCACTTGCTTTCTCGAACTCAGGGAAGTTGAGCAAATCTGGACCATCCAGGTCGACCTGTAAGACCACTCTCGGAACGGTATCTCCACAGTGTTATAATCAATGGCGCCATTGAATGCACGTTTCATAGACAAGAACAAGAAACGACAACCCAAATCTAGACTGGGACTTCCAACCGAAACTAAATTTCCTGCATTCCTGGACCAACCCAAGACTCAACCCACTCAACTTTGGGTGCTAACTTAGTGGCATTCAAAGTTGGGCACCCAAAGTGCTAACTTAGTGGCACCAAAAAGAACGTAGTGAACAAATGTACCAATTGAACACCAGAAGGGTAGAGAGACAAAAAAGTCGGTTCATTCGACGGAGACTCACCTGGCTTGAGTTCATGAGCATGGACTCGGCGAAAGGATAGAGATGGCTACTGTGTGCAGGGGAATAGAGTCGGACATACTTTTGTCCCACAACCTGCGCCCTTGCGAATCAGTCGTCAGACAATAATACTTCAGGGTAGGCCCTATGGAATAGCTCGACGCCAGGACAGAAAAATTGATCTCCTGTTATTTAGTTCCTATTGTTGAGATAAAACATACCAATTTTGATCTCATTTACTTCCTACTCCACACTTCGAAGTGCATGCTCTCTCTTCCTTCTTAGCAGCCGATCAAAACCTTCGACTCTTGGATCCAGTCGTGTGATACAAGTTGATTGGCCAAACACAAGTCCGATATAGGGAGCCAAGACTTACCTGGGCAAAAAGATTGTGGTGAGGATCGTGGTGAAGTGGAGTGACTGTGTTGGCTGGACCAAACCACGCATTAACACTTTTCATATCACCACCTCCGAGCGCACAATAATCAGGAACAATTATATCCTTCCTCAGCTCCGGAATCTGCACTTCATTCAACTCGTCAGAATCTTCAGCTCTGATCGCTAGAGCACCGTACCACCAACACCCACACAAATTCCGCACAGTTGGCGCTGGATACTTTCCAAGCGTTGAAAATTCGAGAGGAAGCAAAATGATGATCGACGATGCATCGGGTACATCCCTGTTAATGCCTTACAGAGTATCCACCACAGACATGTACGTGTGCAACACAAACGGAAAAGAGAAAGCAGTGACTTGCCTGGTCGAATAGACTATGCTGCGCTAGATAAGGACGATTGGTAGAGGACAGTTCAGAAGAAGTGCAACGGTTGATAAGATCCCCTATGGTCATGAGCTCTTGCTTCCAGCCTGGTGCTAGATAGTGTTCTCCGATCTGACACAGCAAATCGATCGATGCTCTTCAAGTGATGTTTGACCTATTAACAAGTCTGCATACTCGCAGGGTCACATTCCGCAACAACAGATGAAAGGGCTAAAAGATTCCACCTCAGCAAGGGCGTCGAAAGCAGACACACAAATAGATAAAGAACACAGAAAGTAAAATGAACTGAAATAAAGTTAAACATTTCCAAATAAGTAGACAAACCTCCACTGGGACTGTCCGACTTCCAGCTATCCTCCGCAGATACTCCAAGTTCTTCCACTTCGTAAGTGCTGGCCAGTCTAACATGGCTCTTTTGATAACTACAGGCTCCCCCGGCAGGAAGAACTCACGAGCAAACGTTTCAAGAGACGGAAGACACGTGGCTCTAATTCGCGCCTGGCTCAGAGAACCTGATGGTAGCTTCTTAAGACTCTGCAAGCAAAGTCTACTGATATATTTATGTAAATACTAGAACTTCGTCATCTGATCTTCAAGCAGAGGAACAGATCACGTGCATTCCTCTCACTTGTGCAAGAAACTTCCGACATAATCCTCCTGAACCTCATTCGTCATATCTCACAGCAAAAAGTAATTGCAAGATCGAAAGCTGATTGCCTTCGTTTTTCAGGCCCATGACTGCATCGACATCCGGGGAGACCTAGTTATCTTTATAAATTTGCAAATGTGTTAACTCGAAGTATTGAGGTTTAAGAGGGCCCTAAGCACTTGGCTGAATGAGCACCTCACTTGACTTCCACACCAGGATGCTCAAAGCGAATATGAATATTGTACACTGCACGCTGCCTTCGGACGACACCGCAAGTCTCATTCCAGAATTTTTGCTCATCAAAGAGACTGCCATCTACGCTTCCTTCAACAACTACTCCTAAACTAAAAGGATTTCTCGTACAACAAGCTTTTCCACTCCGAATGCCGAATGAAGGGCTGGACAAAAAAGGAGACAATGCATGTTCAATGAATACTAAGTACCTCGGCAAAACTCCGATTTCGGTAATTTTGTTCACTCTCATCCCCCGTTCCCCCATTCCCAGTCTGAGAATCGTCCTCTTCATCATCTTCTCTGGCTTTCTGAGCTCTGGAAATGGCAGATTCTAAATGCGCTCGAAAGACTAGCCCGCCCATGATGAGCCCCATGTCAAGATACTTCAGGCATTGCTCTAGGTCTCCTTCGTCACGTTCTATGCAGTTGGAAAGGAGAAGACATGCGAGCGAAAAGGCATCTCGCCAAGCACTGTGAACTTCGCTCCAGGGGCCACTGTGGAGTTGCTCCCATGCCATCTCATAAATCTCTCCAGCTGCAGTTCTGTCTCCACTCTCCGCCAACGCCGTCAGAGCCACATATCCAAACCCACCCTGCTTGCGCAATGCCTCCAGCAGCTCGTCAATAATGGGACGAAGATCGCCCATTGCACAAACTCACTCACGCTGCTGAACACGCATCCATAATCTTTCCTTGCTGCTTTCCTTCCTTCCTTCCTTCCTTTCTTAAAGTCTCCCTCTCCTGCTCGCTTCGATTAGCCTCGCCTCGCTGCGCCAGATTGCGCTTTAAATGACCAGATGGAGCGGGTAGGCTCAATCAGTTCCCCCCAGCAATGCTATTCGATTCCTCTGACCCAGAGCAGTCCTAGACCCACACCCATTCTAAGCCGTCTTCTACGTCGTCTTCGTCAGAGTCGCATCTCCAAACCCAAGGCAACCTCAGCCGTGACCCTGACCCTGTTTTCGTGACGTCGGGTCTCCAAGGATTCGGTGATCGTTCAATAATCGATCAGCTCGCCGTCTTTCGTTCTTCCTTCCTTGCGAGCTGGAAGTCTCGCAGGTTCACTCACTCACTCCCTCCCTCCCTCTCTGTCTGCCTGCCTGCCTGCCTGCCTGCCTCCCTCAGTGGTTCACTCACTGACTGACAGTGCGGGCATTCATCGGTCTCCCTCTCCCTCGAGTGTCTTGCGTCGTTCCTTTGCCTCACGTGTACCTACTCGGGTCGCAGGAGTCAGGATCCGGACCGCGCTGATGCTGCTGATTCGATCGCTCTGCGCAACCCAACCCGGACCCCAATTCCTGCTCTGCTGGCTGTGCATTAGGTACCGGCGTTGCGCCATGCATCGTCGACAGAATGATGTACGTGGCGTTAGCAGAGTCACATTGCACGTCACCACCTCGCACTCGACAGGTCAGACTCGACACCACTCGTTCACTCGTTTGGCGACCTCCCTCCTCCTCCGTCCTTTGCTTTCTTTGTGGTACTTACATTTTGTGAAACATGTGTTTTTCAATCTCGTTGCCCACTCCCATGACAGACGATTCCTGCCCATCATGCATGTTCACTCTTGTGATGACAATTGCTGAGGTTCTTATCCATCACCGGCAATATAACTAATCGAAAACAATTTAATCCAGACCCAAGCTTATTCTCAAGCTAATTCCACGTGCCTCTTTCATCCAAACAAATGTCTTAGCATGCAGGTGGTACCCTTCGTAGCTTATTGCTCCCATGAAGATTACAACCTTTTTCTTGGTGCACATGAACAACCTCCATTCATTACATGGACGTAGAGAATCATGGTGCTGTTACGATCAATTATGCACCAAATCTCATCCCACAGAATATGAATGGTCGATGCACAAAGCTTCAACTTTTTTATTCCCCTACTCTAGTGTCAATACTAACATACTCTTCGAAATCTTCGTCCCTAACATACTAGAAATAAAAAAACGTCTTTCAATTACTCTTCCTCTGAGCTGTTTTTCGCTAGCTCTCACTCACTATGGGATGTTCAACTCAAGTCAAAATTTTATGTCCTGGATCACAATAGGTTCTCTTTAATAAGAAGTCCCTGGTGTACTTTATGATTAATTAAACCCTGAAAAAGAAGGAACTAAGCAACAAAAAAAAGTTGATCAAATAAGTGCGTCCAGAATAAGCGACTTATTTTTCCGCAAATGACATCAAAGTAAAGTCATACCATCCTATTAGGCACCGAGGTAATACGACGGGTGGAAGTTCAATAGCTCGTTCACATTTTTTTCAAGTTACAAACATCTAATATGCTTTAATAACATGAGAAGAATAGTCTGAAATGTTGTCACCTCAAAGCATTGCTTTCTTCCAACCAAGTATTGCTTTTTTTGGCATCTCTTGTTGTTAAAAGCAATCACGTTTATGTTTATATGGTAAATGGTAAATAGATTAAGCCCGTGGGATCCAAAGGGTCAAAAGGCTAAAAAACACAATACAAAAAATCCAACTCCAAACAAGGAGAGATCCAAAAGAACCCCTAGCTAGTGTCCAAAGCACTAGAACGGTAACTAATAACATCCCTAATGTAACAACATAAATCACAAAGCTCAAGCTGAAGCAAAGAATAAAAATTCTCAACAACAACTTTATGAGCCACTCTAATCTCTACATATCTAGCACAAGTAAGAAATACATGCTCTTCATCCTCAACTTTTCTTCCATCACATAGCTTACAAATACGTTCACTCCTATCAATGTTCAACCAACGCCCTTCTTCAATCCCAAGACTATGAGATCCTGTTCTATGTCTAGCAATAATATGACCTAAAGAAGTAGATATCTCTGCAAGTAAGTATCCTTGCTCACAATAAACAAGCATAGGATTCACATGAAGTTGATAAAACTGCATCTTGGTGCCTCGTTTGCTCCACATAATGCTGAGAAATTCCTCCTTAATACGCTCGCGTAGGGCAATAGGTTGCAAACCCCAATCGAGTTCCGTCACATTCCACCTTAAAGACCAAGTCACCACATCTGCAAACCAACCCTTGGGACGTGTGACATGCAAAGCTTCAAGAGGAAGTCGAGAAGCATCAAGAGATCTCACTCTTTTGACGTAAATGATAGTAAAAAAAAGAGCTTCAGCCTCAAGAGGTAGACAACCTGTTTCCGCAAGAAGAATTGCATAAGAAGTTTGGGTCCTCACACTCAATTCTTCTTGTAAGAAGATCTTTTGCACCCTCTCCAAACGTTGCCAACCTGTCTTCTTACAACTAGGACCCCACACTTGTGTTCCATATAAGATAACGGGAAACACTAAGCTCCTGAATAAGAATTTACTAAGACTCCAAGATACTAGATGAGCTCCTCTACATCTATTTAGCAATGAATATAGAGCTTTGAAACCAGATTCTACCCTCTTTTGCACACAAAGTGCCCAACTATAATTGGATGAGAAATCAATGCCCAAATATTTGTAACTTTTCACTTGTTCCAACTATAATACTTTGTAACAGAAAGAAAGCTTGGATCTAGTGCTCACAAGAATGACTTTGGACTTCTCCAAATTGACTTCCATCTGATTTTGAATACAAAAGCTAGCCAAAGTGTCAAGGTGTTTCTGTAAACTAATGACATCGCGTGCTAGTAATATGACATCATCTGCATACAAAAGAGCTTTGATGACAAAGCCTCCAAGTTTAACACCTTCGCTATCACAATCCTCCAACCACCTTTCTACATCATCTATGAAAACTCCAAATGAATAATCTCTTCGGTTTGAGAAGTGTTGATCTTGGCCCGAACTGAGTGGTATAGTATTATGGTCTTATACCATATAAACATAAACATATTTATATAAACACAGGTTTTCTATTTGTCCATGGATGCTTCAATGCAACTGCAGGGTTTTCGTTATCAACCAAGTTGCTTTCTACTTCGATGTTTTTAATCTGTTCAAAATTGATTCTTTTTGAACCTATAATTTAACTTGGTTCTCGGTGTTTTATTCTGCATGCAATTTTTCTATTTAGCCAAGTAAAATTTAGCTTCAATATTTTCTTCTTAAGCCTCCTTGTGCTTTTTTTCCCTGAAGGTTCTCCTGTTGATCAAGTTCTAAACTTAATTGTTACTAAATAAGCCAATGAACTTAACATTTCTATTGATCAGATTATAAACTTATCTTGTTTCAAAAAAATCAGAGTCTCAAGCTTCTCACCTCTAGAGAGTTTTTATCGACTAATCTTATGATTATTACCATTCCAAGCCTCAAGATTTTTCTTCTGATTATGCCTACATCATGTGGCCTCTAGTATTGAGTAAACCTAAGATTCGAAACGTTTTATGCTCAGTAGTCATTTTCATAAGACGCCAAAAGCTTTAGTCTTCACTTTTATTTCCTTAGTTTTTGCAAATAATTGTATACACAAACAATTGGTACGAGGGAATCTGTTTGGAGAACATTGCTTGATCGTCTTTGCTTCATGACAGTCGAACTGGATATCCAAAGCAATTCTAGCCTCTGGATTGTAGGGGTTGCATCTTTTAGTATCAAGGGTGCTCATAGGCCAGTCGCACATTGTTCTTTCCTTCTAATCTAGGTGCATGTGATTGTACATCGGGCATCATGACGTACAGTAGATTTTCCCTGGAGTATTTGAGAGCATATTGGATCTCAAAATGTTGGAATTTCAGCTGTTCTCCTGTTTCTTTCTCATGCCATAGTTCTTTTTAATATTTAATTCTCTGGCTCCTACTTTCTATGCAACACAGTTGAATACAAAAATTATTCCCAATATCAGAAAACAAAACGTTACTGAAGTAAATGATACAGTTCTGTTTAATGTCTAATCTGCACGGTCTACTCTGAACTTTAATAGCGATCAAGTGCATGTTAGAACTCAAGATAGAAGTACCAAAGAAGAATGTCGTTGGATCTTTTTATAAATTCATTGACCAACGACTGACTTCATGAGGGTTCTAGACATGTCACAGTGATGAACTTTAACCTGATGAACTTTGACACATAATGAACTCTGACCCAAAGTTTGGATAGGAATGTTTAGATAATGTGCAGATTAGTACACCAAGATGACAAGATCATTCCCCTCTCGTCCCCAGCCCACATGTTTCACTATCGACATTTCTCATACTAACCCGCTTGCGTGTGACCAAAAGCGAGGTAGTCTAGTGTGATGTTCTTAGTGTAGCCGGTGTGTATGAAAGTTTTGAAAGTCAAATAAATGTGCCCATCTCATCAGTCTCTACTGCAGCCGCACAAACGGTGAAATGATAACAAGTTTCCATCGCAGAAGAAATCTGGCAGAGAAAAAGAAGGGGTAAAGAGATTGAGAGAGAGAGAGAGGTGCTTAGTGTCGATCCTAAATGAAGACGTTGTTTGAAGAAAAAGAAATTCAAGCTGGTAGGTGAATGGAAAGTACCATTGCTGGCAGGACAAGATTATGTATTCAATGCGGCAACTACATACCGAAACTGGGAACCACGCAAGCAGACCCAGGTCCGATAAAGATGGAGAAAGAAGCAGAACTTTACCTTCACCTACCCTCGACCGTGCCACGTTAACTAACCCTTCGTTAACTAACTAAGCTCACTTGATGTCAACCGCATGCTTGATTCACCTTACTAGAAAAAGAATAGTAATCTACTGATTTCTTAAAATATGTGTCACTAAGAGTTACAATGAGCTCTTTAATTAAATGGAAGGCTAACGAGATTAATTTATCATGGCTAAGTTTGAAAAAACTAACCAAGACCTGAATTAAACTCCAACAAAATGTAGATTATATAAAAACTGTAAAGAGCGCACGCATGCGGGTGCGAGCTCATGACCGGAGAATTCATTCTGTACGAGAGGATTAGAATCCTGGTCTATGTGATTGAAGAACATCAACACCACAGTCGCGCACGGAGACTCGGTTATTTTCGACGTGTCTGAAGACTGCCAGCCCATCCCCCGTCACCGCGCTCGCGTAGAGGAGCAACCAGGTCGCAGCGTCGAAAAGCGCACAAGAACTTGACCGGGTAACTCGGCGGAGACCGACTCCAGACCGCCGAGGGAGTCACCGTGACTGGGCTAAGGAGAAGACAAGAGAAGTAAGAGAGAGGGACCGAGCGAGACAGTCATCAATGCGAGACAGAGAGAGACGCTCGTTCTACAGACTTCTTGCTTCAGCTCCAAGTTGGAATAACCGGCGACAGCGACCGGACAGCGACCGCTAACCGGACCTCGAGGCTCGACAACATCGGCAGCCGGAGCAGGAGCAGGAGCAGAGCAGCATGTTCATCGTCTTCATCGTGCAGGAGGCAATCGATCGAGACGCGAGGGTGGCGGAGAGCGAAGGCGAAGGCGGAGGCGAGCATGGATGGCAGCAAGAGAGCGAGCGACAGTCGGATTGGAGGAGCGCAGAGGCGGGGAAGGGTGTGAACCAATTTTCGGGCAGCCATCGAGTGGAGTTCGCTTTGTGCGGTCGCGTAGCTTCGAGGCGGGCGGTGTTGCCTGAATCGCGTGCAGGCGTCGAAGAGGACGACGAAGAAGGAGTGGAGTGGAGTGGAGTTTTTCGGAGAGGGGAGGAAGGGAGGGAGGGAGGGAGAGGGTAGGACGGGATGGATGATTTGTGAAGGGGATTCGGGGAGTTTTTAGGAGGGCGATTTTCGGGCTCGTGAGAGTTGGGCCAAAAAATGGAGGCTCCGACGATCGCAGATCGGCAGCAGCAGGTATGGCCGTTACAAGCCCATCCACCTCCGTTGCAGCTGGGGCAAGTGCAGGTGCTGGTGCCGGACGCCTTTGTGGCGAGCATGCAAGTGCAACAATCGGAGCCCCTGCAGCTGGGTTTCATGTGTGGGAGCCTGCCCGTACCCACGTTTAGCTCGTCGGGCATCTCGGACATCACCAGCAGCAGCAATTCGTCCCCGCAAGCCGCTCTTATCCCTGCCATTAGCTTGCAAAGCCAACGGTACGTTTTTACTTAATGTTTTTTTTTTCTTTTTCCGTTTTGTTGGGGTTTTAGCATACTCTCATTTTTTTTGTAGGTGTATGTGCAAACTCCGCCAGAGGAGGTGTGGAGGTTTGGTGACACCGACTTCGGTCCTGCTGACCCTTTTGCAGTGCAGCTCCACCGAGGTATCGAGTTTTGCCCACCGAAACAGACCTCAACACTCCTCCACCGGAAAGCTTCCAAGCGGAGCCGAACTTTCCTGTAGCAGCCTCGCATGAAGCAGCAGGTACAACCTCTCGAATGAATCTGGTTCTGACACCTCTTTTCTGACTTAAGAACTTCAAAATCATAACCGTCAACACCATTTCCCTCCAGGAGATTCTGCATTTGTCCGATGGGAATCTTATTGATTGCCCACACATGTAGCAAAAGTGGCTTCAAACCACTGTCACCAATATCTTCTTCAAGAATCCTAACATCGTGAGGATGTTGTGGACACTGTCAGGCTCTTCAAAGGGTTCATGGTTTAAGTTTGATCCTTGACCGCTGGTTGTAATATATCCCTTATATGAATCAGGATCGTGTAAAGGATGGGGTGGGACTTACCTGAGTCAACCCGTAGCGAGAAAGTGCGAGTCTCTTGCAGTCAACGCCTTGGCGGGTTACGGTGACGACATTGACGTCGTAGCTCCAATAGACATACTGAAGCAGATTTTCAAAACTCCTTATTCGAAAGCTCGAATATCAGTGGCTGTCCATCGCATCGGCCGCACTCTCATTTTAAACAGTGGGTATGTCTTTTGCTTCTGAAAGATACCTTTGGTTCCTCATATTCTGAATTCTTGTCAACTGGAGTTTTACGACATCCAATCAAAGGAGATAACTACGTGATAGCTAGCCTAATGAACAGTATTCAGTTTTTCTCAATTTTGTTGTTCAGACCAGATGAATGGAGAGATGAAAGACCCGGGGCGAAGATTGCAAGGCAAAAGAAAAGTCACGCCAAAGCGATGGAAAGTACGCTGTTCTCTAAGTTTGTTCAACATTCAATGAATGGGAACTCTTGTCCTTCCGAGTCCACGACACATTCCGAGTCGCAAGATTCTCAAAGTGATGCCGGGTTTGAAGAGATAGTGGATCATGATGTGCATCGCCGATCCAGGTCAAGAATGGCAGCTCAGCGTAAGGGTAAACAACGGGTGTCCTTGGGTCATCACTGTCGGCGGAACAGATGTGGAGGAGGATCCAGATTCGTTGGTGAACAACAAAGGGAGACGGATTTTGATCAGAATGAATGTCCTGCCGAGGGACCTCAGAGGCCACCTACTGAAGGATTTCTAAGGGTCCTTTTCTGGCAGTTCCAAAATTTGAGGATGCTGCTCGGAAGTGATCTTCTTTTGTTCAGCAATGAGAAACATGCGGCTGTGAGCCTGCATCTTCTCGAAATTGAGCGGCAGGTAGCAAAGAAACTCATCGTCTCTCTTCATGTGAAGATAGATCATGCTCACAGTTGACTGTGGAGTTGCGTGCATGATTGGTTGCCTATCGTAGTTCACATCTTCTAAATTTCGGCTCCTCGTCCAACGATACTTGATTCGTTGGACGATGAACGATCAAGTTTCCACGTTAGGTTGGTCGTCTTACCGTGGATGTTGCTCATTTCTCACCAGTTTTTATATTGTACGGTGGAGGCTTCAAAGTTTCAATCATAATTCTGTACTTTTGTTGCAGGTGACACCTTTGATGTGGTTGGATGCGTGGTTGGATAATGTGATGGCCAGTATACCCGAGCTAGCTGTTTGTTATCATCGGAACGGAGTCGTTCAGGGTTATGAATTGTTGAAAACAGATGATATATTTCTAGTGAAGGGTCTTGCCGAGGACGGGAGTGCATTCTTCCATCCGCATGTTGTTCAGCAAAACGCTTCTACCGTTTTGAGATTTTTGCAAGATAACTGCAAAGAGGATCCTGGGACATACTGGGTATGACGATGTTGGCTTTTTTCTTCTTCGGAACAAATTATCCTCGTGTTTTCTACAAGGAGTTTTTGTTGATTTAGAATCTTCCTCAATTCATCACAGTGTTACGATCATACTATCATTGAGATTAGATGGTTCATTCAAGATGATCTTCCTTGGGGATTTGAAGGTTCGCTAGACAAGATCTGGGATTGAAGACTTGCACTTATTACTTGAAGGTCTCATTTCCCTTTGCCCTTTATCTCCAGCTTTTGAAGAACTCCGGAGAAGACCTTATGCAACTCTTCGATCTCTCTGTTATCTCAAAGCCATTCTCGTCTTGCGGCGAAAAGGAGGACAAAGACGGTGCTACTTTGCCTTCTACGAGAGGCTGTTGCAATGGACATTACTCCTTACCTTTGGCTATGCTCTTGTATCGATTAACCAATCGACTTTCCAGATCAAAGGTATCCTCCTTGTGCATGTTACTGAATAGTTTCTGTTGTATCTTTCTTGAACATCACCTGTCTTGTCGGATCTGCGAACATGAGGCTGACCCTTTATTCCCCGTTTAGGATCCTGCTGACAGACGAAAGTGTGCGAAGCTCTTTGGAAAATGTCTTGAGTTCATGGATGAGCAGGAACATCTGGTACGCCAAACTTGTGCAAATTTCGTCATCGCATTTCCTTTCATCATTCGCTTAGTCCTTCTCTTAGTTCATTTTCTTATGCATGTCCACACTAGGACATGCATAAATAAGCAAAATAAAAGTTCAGTTTTTGAGTTGCTATTAAGCGTTCCATATTTGTCAAACTTCCAGAACATTCGGGCCTCAGCTCATGAGCACGTCGCCAGGCTTATACTCACTACTTATGAGGAAACAGGATCGATTCTGAAACCCTTGTTACTTGAATCCAGCATTTCCAATGCAAATGAAACAAAGCAATCTGTGCTTGAACTACCTTGTTCAGAGGGGGAGTCCACAGGTCACGATTTTACTGTCTCAACACATGAAACGGTACAAGTTTGTGATGTAAGTGGGCTTACCGTTCAGCAACTGGAGGAGTCTGAAAGTGTGGCGAATGAAGAAGTTATTGAGGACCTGTCTTTGACTTCAGCGAAGTCTACACCTCAAATGACGTCAGATGTGTTGATGGTTGCTTGCGCTGATGCTTCAGATTATAGTTGCTCAGAGTCAAATTCAGACGTTCGAGCGGAAGCTGCCTTAGAGCCACAAAAAGTAGTTCGTTTATTCCCAGCAGCCTACTCGTCCCCCAAGTCATTACGTGCGCAAACAGATACTGTGTCTGCCCATCTTGAAGCAGTGCATCATATATCTCAAGCAATCAAAGCACTGAGGTGGCAGAGGCAGCTGCAAGATGGTGAAGAGCATCCAGTACGACCTCAGAGCGTTTTGAACGAGCCGTCGAGTCATATTCAACAGGTTTGCATTTGTGGAGAAGTAGATTGTGTGGCCGTTTGTGACTTCAAGGAAATTGGTATCGGAGCCCAAATGGATCAAAAGCTTTGGGGCCTTATGTTACTTCTTGGTGACGCGTATCTTGCTCTTGGTCATGCATACAAGGACGAAGGTTTACTTAGCAGAGCTCTGAAAGCGACAGAATTAGCATGTCAAGTATGTGGGGCCATGCCTCCTGCTAGAGATGTAACTGGTGCTTGGAACAGTTCCAATTTATCGAGGAAACCTGCGAGTGTTGGTGAGGATCTATTACGAGAAGCATCCAAAGCGAAGTATTTTCAAGTAAGAGGTGTCGGCACGTCCCCTTCGTATTGTTCTTCTGGTTTAAAAACGAAGAGTTCGCAACAAGGGCCATTTTGGGGCCAATTGTGGATGTTTGTTGGAGACATATATGTGGAGATTCAACGTACTCTTGGTGAAGGAGATGTCACCCCACTTGAGCAGGGCTCTCACTTTGAGGAGCTAACAATGACACAGGAGGTGCTGAAAGAGGTCAAGCGCTTGAAGAAAAAAATTGGCCAGTTCAGAGGAAGTTGCGGACTATGTAGCTTGACAAGTTGTAGTTGTAAGAGTGACAGGGCAAGTAGTGGGGACAGTGCCAGCAGCTGTAGTAGCAGCATTGATACTATGAAATACGGCCGCAAGCAGACGAAGAAGTCGACCACTAGAAGTCGTTCCAACCTCGCTGGAGATGCTTCAGACGTGCATCAGGAAAGGTCGGCAGAAAGTGAATGGAAGTTGGAAAAAGAGTCATCTTCTAAGTCCAGACAAATTGAGGTTCTGAATTCCAAGCTACCGAATGGTCATACTCATGATTTTGAATCGACCGCCGCCAATCCGAAGCCCAATGGTGATTCCTCAAGCAGCTATGTACCTCCTGACATCTTCTTTTATTTGACGAGGCCCGTGTCAGTGGATTGGGAAGCCAATCTCTCAGCCGCTGTTGATTGCTACTCTGCTGCCATTAACGCGTTTTCTGGCCTTTCGGAGTGCTCAGAAAATGTCGAATCCACTCTGAGAAAGAAGGGCTGGGCTTGCAATGAACTTGGCCGCAAGAGACTTGCCCATGGTCTGGTGAAGTCTGCTGAAGGCTCCTTCGCATCAGCCATAGATTCTTTTAGAGAAGTGAAAGACCTGACCAACATTGTGCTCGTTTATTGCAATCTCGGCCATGGTCGAAGGGCAGCTGCAGAGGCCGTAGCAGCCAAGTTGCCACTTGAGGATGACTGCGATTATTTCACACCGTTTGTTCATACCATAGCTGAGGCCAAGTTTCTGTATGGGGAAGCTTTGAAATATTATGATTTGGCTCGGCGGGAAGTCAATGGTGGAAATGGGGAGGCTACGTCTGGCCTTTGGAATGAGGTGCATACGCAGTTGGCACACACTTATCTCAGGCTTGGTATGCTTCTGGCGAGAGAAGACAGGTTCGTGTATGCATGTCGAAAGAATAAGGACTTGCGTGGACTTGTAGGGGATGGAAATTCTGATAGCAAAGATGGTACATCGACTAAAGATGCTATAACAAAAGCTCTGATTTTATATGAGTCTTTGGGAAAGTTTCGCGCTCAAGAGGCTGCGTTCGCACAATTCCAGCTTGCTTGCCATCACAGAGACTCTTCTTTCAGCGCAGCAAAGCAAGTAGATGCATTCGGATCGAAGAAGATCGAGACCTCAATGTTTCAGAAGGTCAAGTTGCATGCCTCCCTTGCAGAGCTCTATTGGCAAAAATCTCTCGATTTCTATAAACCGGAGACTCATGTCGATATGTTCCTTGGCATTCTAATGGAGAGATCAGCCTTATGTTCCGAGATGGGAGCTTCGCTCAATCAGAATCTGGTATGTTTCAAACGGTCGACTTCCCATGCTGGGCCTCTTTTGTTGCCTAGACTCTGTAGCTAAAGTGTAGACAAGTCGATTTACAGCTACTCTTTCCACAGCATTGGAGGATGTGTCTTTTTGCGCTCGCAAAGTTTGGACCGGCACTCTGATGCATTTACACCAATTATAAATTACAGTGTTCCAATCAAAGTAGACGACAAAACAGTACTTTTCTGGATTTGAGACATACTTATGCCTAGTCAATTCGTGGTGCAGATGATAGAACAGGCTCTTACTTATTTACTAGAAGGACGTCGAGCTTTTAATTTATCAGATGGAGGAGACAGGGACAACATTGCAGCTCGTACTCAGCGGGAAAGACCGTCGGAGGCGATCGTGGCGAAGTTTATTCTCCAGATACAAAAGCTGCTGAAGACCATGCTGTCTGGAGCCTTAATGTTGACTAAATCCTCTCCAACTGCTTTTGCCTCAAATAGAGCCCGGAGGAATATCGAAACTGCGAATAATGGGGAACCGAGTGCAGCTAAAACTTCTGACATTGGGAAGCTGAAGGAAATGTACCGAGCTTCTTTGCAGTTGCATGGGGAGCCCAACTTGGAGCAGTTGTACAAACTTTGGGTTTCGTAGAGGTTCGAGATGATTTTATTCCAATCACTTGTCCTAGACTTGGCCGAAGCAAATTTGTCAATCATACAGTTTCTGTCTGTTGAGCAGGATTTTTTTGTCCCTGATCTGCGTGGCATTTCAGAGCTTATGGTTCCAACCCAGTTTTTGGGAGTCTTGAATGCAATCAGCCACAGGTCAGTAACAAATCTGACATTCGCGTGTCATGCTGCGTCCTATCGTATTTTCTTCAAAGCAATGCTCAGTCATCCGATGAGATTCAGTGGACTGTCCTACTGTTGTTTGCTTTTGAAATTGTTATCATGCCTTCCACTGGAATACATTCTCTAATTCTACTTGCGTTGCAACTTCTGCATGTAGTTTGACCGCTGGACTAAGGTTTGCAAGTTATTCTTTTATCTGGTCATGTATCTGCTATCTGGTCATTAATTTTTTTCTTACTTTGTTGTGCAGATGTGGGAAGGGGTCGAAATTTTTTTTTGCAGTTAAACGGGAATATATTTTCTTAATCTTGGAATCCAGCTTCCGATAGCCAAGTCTATGATGTGTAGTTAAGACTCTGAATAGGAGTCGTTTCTGGGGATACATAGTCGTACTGAAGCAACGAGTTTATACATAGTGAAATGCTGAAGTGAAAAGTTGAATTTACCTTGTTTTACACAAAATTAGAGGATCAATTCAACTCTTAACACTTCGGAAGTGGACATGTTTCTATATCTCTTTGCCGAGCGGAAATACATATGTTTTGAATCAGCAATTGAAAGAATCGAATCATCTGCATAATATCACGTTTGTGATCAGCACTATCAATCTCCGTAATTCTAGTCGCGAACAGGGCTCTGTGGTAAAATACTTAGAGCATGCTTACAAAAGACAAATGTCTTAGAACACGTCTGCAATGTCTAAGTACATTGCAGACCTTCGCAAAGCAGTTATCCCTACTGAGTCTGAGATTGATCGGCGAATTCGGATTGTAAGATTACTGTGCAAATTTACTTTAAATCCAAGTTCTTCCCTAGCGCAGAATTTTAAAACCTAGAAATGTCAATTGCAACCATGCCCAGGTATATTGCTTTCGTGAGAGTTGGCAGTAGACATTTCCTAATCGCGTAAGACTGAGCCATTACGCCAAATTTATTTCCCTGAGTAATGATATTGCCTTCAGATCTCTAAGATCTGAAGGCTATGATTATCTAAGACATAATCTCCCATTCGAACTCCAGCCACTTGAAACCCACAGCCACAGCCAACCCTAGTTGCGAACTCCTAAGCTGTTGTAAGGGTCTGTTCTGCCTTCATACTGTGAAGAATACTGAAGTTCTGTCGTTTAGCCAAACATTCGAGGCTGCATTGATGGATTTCCCGAGGTTTAATCTTAATGCCAGAAAACGCACTTAGGTGTAAAAGCCAAAGCATTTGACAAATTAATCTACAGCCTGCATCCACTCAAGAAGGCCCTTAGGCCTCTGTACCCAGAAATCAAGAGGTCGTGGGGATAGAGGCGGATACATCTAATGGAGACTTGAAGATTTAAAAAGACTTAGATTGATCAGGACACCAAAAACTAGAAGAAACTCGGAAGAAAGAATAAACGACAAAGGTTATTGACGTAGATGAATCTACTATTGTGTGCAATGAATTGCCTTCTCTTTCAACATAGAAAATAGCGGGAAAACGTATCTTGTGAAATTGTAAGTGGCCTTGCCTGGAGAAATTCCCTTGATTGTGGTCCCTCTCGGTTCCTCTCCATTCATCCAAGGAGTCACCTCCTTGGATCAACCGAGCTTAATTGAATTGATTCCTAAGTTACTTGACTTTTTCTAACTAGAATATCATGGCCACTAACTATAACAACCATTCAAGCACAATAAGCAATCAAAATGCAGTGGATACATGGCGGAAAATCAGAGCTCACAGTATGAGACATACAATGATTGGACGTGTGCTGTATGACGAGATATAAATAACTTCCTATCGTATCCTGTAGATTACAATGCAGTTTTCACTATTTTATTTGCAATATACCATATACAATTCTTCGGGTGTACTGTTAAGATTGATAAAAGTAGCGCAGTAAAGGGGCCGATCCAATTTCCTCCAGGTAAAATCCACATGGGATGGAAAGTCGATTTGCCTACACAGTTCTGTCGTCGATTTCGAAGAGTAAGACATGGGATCCGTTATTTCCTTGATCTTACTTCAAGAAAATTTCATTCATCATCCTGTACCGATTCTCATGGTCCATCATGACAGTAGGAGTCTCATATGTACAGGGGATGAGAGAAAAAAATGATGTGGATGGCACCTGCCTTCTCATAAAAAATCTCGAACCCGACAACGACGCCCATTGGTACCTGGACCCTTGGTATGATTAATCAAGCTCTCATGAATTGTGATGACCAACACTAATAACCTATTTTGGAATCCGACTACGTGAAGCTGAGCAAAATTGTCTATTCTTCTTCAGCAGTATTAGGTCTGGTAGGTCTCCTTTCGGCAGTCGAAACAGAAGTTTGAGCGTTCCCACCGGTTGCTGTATCTAATGCAGCCGTTGAAGACGTGCTCCCACCGTCTGTCAAAGTCTCGTTGCTGGGTCGGTCTCGTTGTTCTTGCAATTCCTTTTGCTTCAATGCCTCCTGCTTCATAGCCTCCATCCTGGTTTCACAAAGAGATTGAAATAAATGAGAAATGAATCCGTATTGTCCTTTCCTGAAGGAGCAAAACTGTCTTAGAGATAGAGGGACGGTCCATATTTCCACAAACTATTATCCATAAATGCTTCCGACCTGTTAGTGTACCGGCATACCAGAAGAACATGGACAACCAGCATCAATGAATCGGGTTGTCACAAGTCTGTGACAGACTGATAATGGGTAGCTGGGTGCTTATTCAGAAGCAGGGAACGATGGCGTAAACTCGTTGTCAAGATTGAAACAAAAATCTACCCCACCTGTTTTCGTTCTCAGCCTTTTCTGCAAACCTATTCAGCTTTTGGTTGAAGTGTACATAGATGGACAAAAGTGAGTTCAGAGTGAGGAATTCAGTGGGACTAAGAGTGCCTCACTAATTATCCAATGCCAGTGCGGGAACACAAGAGGGCGGAGTGAGAGAACCCGGAGATATGCAGACGGAGTTCGCAAAAAAAGGGAAGTGAAATGTCCTGAACTGGCGACACCTCCATGTGAGGTAAGTTGCGAAGATCCCACAATAGCCGAAAAATTTAGAACAAGACGCATCATGTTTTAAAACACAAAACCAATTAGATTCCTTGTCGAAGGAAGTTCTCATGCGAATATCCGATTGAAAACGAACCTCAATAAGCTCTGCCAAAGGCTAAAACCTCACCTCCGTCGACGCTAGACTCTTATATCGAAATTCGGTCAGAAATTCTTTGTCAGCTTTGAAGTACGAAAATTAAGACAGAAGCTATTACGTGCATATGTTCAAGATTATATTTATAGAACCCTGAGATATTTGTTTCCTAAAAGCACCGAATTGACATTCTAGCGCATAGTGGGTGAGGTTTTAGTACGCACCTTGCAGCCGGAGAGTTGTCTGGAAAGGGTCGCTTTAGTTTGCTATCTTTAGCTGGATCCTTATTGAGGACGTATATTGAGAAGAGTGGATGCTCTATGAACGTTATTGGCTGCGTTACTGCCATATATGCAAAGCAAAGGCGGTCAAAAGATCGGCAGTCTGCATATATTTCTAAAAATAAGCCAGAAGAACTGCAGAGCTTATTCGGAAGACAACGACAGTTGTGCTACTGCCATGCTTTCATTCGAAAAATACCAGTCTAGAATTTAAATCCACGATTCATCTTAGAAGGAACAAACCTAGTTGCAAACCTCCATCATATAAGCAAGCGGCAGAAAAGTCATATGTACTGACAGTTACCTATTTGGAGAAGGAGGGCAGGTACAACTTGCATATACACATGGATTCCGATGGTCACAGCAGCTCCCTGAAAGAACAAAACATCTACAATACTTTAATAAAAGAAAATTCCACAATCAACTAGTGACACACTAAAGGCAACACCTCCTTCCCATGCAGCTTCTTCTACAATAACTCTTTCCTGAATTTCAAGCCGGCCATTGCAACTGTTAAAACTATGATCTAGGGTCCTCTTGTTCAGAACTAGTGCAATATGCAAGAAAGTATGTCTATGTGCATGGATGTATCAGAAAGATACAAGTTTGATTCCATTCTTCCTGATTTCATGCGGTGGTTGCTAGATGCGAGAATTAGGCTGAATTTTCAAATTTGAGTAAAAAAATTAATATCACCTCTTTGTTGACAAATTTCAGACAGACTTACCAGTGCAAAATTCTTGAAAAGCTTTGTGAGTTCTCCCATGTCGTAATCCTTGAATGTCATTTTCGTTTCCGTTGGCTGTCTGTGCATCCCAAAAACCCGATTCAGTCTGATACAACATGCAGGTTCTATCGTGCTAGTACACAAGCTTCTGACGAAACTGCCTGGGGTTTGGATGAGTTTGGAACTTTGAGACCAGAGGATAGAACTAATTAGGATACAACGTAAAAAATGTACCACCTTTAATATGTAAGTCCTGACAAAATAAGACATGTTGTAAGAAAAGATCAACTGAACGAATGAAAGGTAGACCATTCAAGACATGTTAAATGATCGCCCGATCCACGCAGCAGGCTGAACATATGATTCTTAGAATTGCTTTTCTATGTTTGAAAACTATCTACGATGTCCTTCTCACAGAGAAAGTCAACATATTCGAACTCAGAGTACAATATATTCTATTTTGCACAAATTATGACAGATCCATGAACGTGTATGAACCGTCACTAATCAAGATGCTCCCACTCCCAGATGACATCTTCCGCTTCCAAAAAATGACAAAAAGAGGACAGCAACTATTTAGATCGACCTACTTCCGCTCCATCCACAGTCTTACTCCTCCTAAAAGATGACAGAGGAGTCATCCACACAAAACATTGCAACTCAGAGACATCAGAGGAATAAGTTCAGAATAACACACTCGCCAGAACCACCAGTCGCCGGGGGTGTCTTAATTTTCAGAGATTTCTTATCGTCACCCCTACTCCGGATCCCGTAGGCGATGAACGCGCAGAGCCCTAGTATAAACACTTGAGAAACTCCATAAAGTATCCGCACGATAAGCAAGTTCTCAGGAGTTTGATAGTCCACTTTGGCAAATTTGAGACCTAGCAATAACCCTGGCCCCACTAACACCTTCCATGGCAATCCCTGCAACATGTTGCCTGCTTGCTGCCTTGCTTACTGCAACGCTTGCGCTTCCCGGCCCTGTCCGAGATCCTCCCCTTCCTTCTCCTCGTCGACCTGCTCCCCGATGCGATCAAAATTTCCGCAAACAGCGAGAAGAGGGCGGCGAAGCTCTGGTGTCGTCGAAAACTAAACCCGAGCCAAACACAACAACGCGAGAACGAGCAGATTCAGATTCCGCGATGCGATGCACTGGACGATCTCAATCAATGGCCCGCTCACCGCCACCACCGCCTGCGGCCCTGCCTGCCTGCCTACCTCCCTGCCTCCCTCCGTCGACGTCTGTCCTTGGGGCTGTCCCGGCCCCGGTTCCGTCCCGTCCTTTGAATGACGGACGGGACCGGAGCTCACTGGACTCGGAGTTCTGTTCGGTGAACTTGTGAGCGAGCGTCGAGGGCGGAGGACAGAGGAACCGGAAGACTGTCCGGTCTTCTTCTTTAATCCATTGGTCTGTCTTGTAATGTCCAGGATGAAGACAGATTTCCATCAGACCAAAGGCAGCAACCATTCTTGTTTTCCGGGTCTTCCCATCATTGCGGCGTGTACTTCTTTCTACTTTCTTTGACATGACAAATGGGTTTTCTTCCCACGTCGTGCTTTTAACTTTTAATAACACACAATTATAACACTGCGCTCGCCTTCCTCCGTCCACGACTGTTTTGTTGATCCCTTCATTCTTTCTCCTTTTTCATGTTCCTTTAGATTATACACTGTTAGCACATCATATTTGAGGCTAGATGGGAAAGTCCCTTCCATATAACACGTGGGAGAAACCAAAGCGTTAAGAAGTTGCGATGACCCAATAGAATTACATTTAGGAATATGTGTGAAGTTGTAGATTCTTATCTGTCTAAGTGCCAAAGATTTTGTCATACATTGATTACAATCTTTGTTCAAAAATATAAAATAAAACCATACTACTATTACGAGATGAACAATGCAATTGAGCATTAAACATAGAGATGAATCCACAAGTAATATTTTTATAAGAAAATCGAACATGTGTGGATTCATTTAACAGAGGAAGTTTTTGGCAGGTGTCCTTATATAGAATGAGAGAGAAAAATTATTCAGATCCTACGAAAGTACGATCAAAATATTAGTAATCCTAAAATGTGCAAGCATACCCAGCTTTAGAATATAAAGTTGAAGAGAAATCCAAACATGTCACTTTAACATCTTTACTCTCAAGCCTAGACGTCTAAGTTTTGTAGTAAAAGAATCAAAGTCATGCAAGATGAGGTGTATAGAAACCAGATTGTGTATATCATCGGCTAATGAGTGCAAAACTCACTTTCCGAAGCAATAAAATATTAGTCCTGGAAAATATCGTATCTCCAAAGTATGTACATATCCAGTACCAATGCTGTGTTGTAGATCTGTGAATACCTCGTGTGAAAAAGCCATAGTTTTAAATGAGATTACAATATGAACTAAATCAATTGAAACTTTACAGAGTTGCACCAACTTCCCTATGTTATAGGAAGTGAAACAAATCAATTGTTCTCAATTGCAGTTGGAAATAATCTGAAATCATATTTAAATTTTATATTCAAATAAACATCATTTCAAAAATTTAAATGCAATTTGATAAATTCATAACTGTGATGCCATTGAGTGTATAATATCAATCAAGACGACGATTGTACATATCAGGTTATTCTTATCCGTTATTCGTGTGTAGATACAGTTTCTGCACTTGCATGTCGGCTGCCGTTCTTTGAGATTCAATGAGCTTTCATCTTACTCAAAGCTGCAAGTGTGCCACACTTCCACTTCCGTGACCACACTTAGTGTGGGCACGCATCTCCAATTTTAGCTGATTAAAATAATCTGATGCATCTTCAGAGACACGTGTTTGCAAAGGGAAAGTGTTGTGCATTACACGTCTCGAATTTTGTGCAGCATGGAGTTCGGCAGCTTTGGTCTAGCTAATAACCACACAGTGCGCTTTACCATGTGGCATATGGCAAGGATGTTGCAACCCATCGAGTAACCTCGTACTCATATCTCTGTAATTAAAGTGAATCTTACATAGTATACAGCAGAGCCCAACATTGGGTGCCCATGCCCATGGGTTTTGGGTGACATTATTTTTCCATGGTGGGCACAAGTAATGCTATGGGCAGTGTTTGTCAGATCCAACCAAGAATTGGTGTAACCTGGTAATACACATAACACAATTGGCTTAATTTGAATAGAATGGGTGGGCATAGGTCGCTGCTGATGGTTATTGTCTGGTCTGGGTACAGATCTGAAGTAGAATGTTGGCCTCTGGTGTACAGTACACTTATTAGGGACTCCAGATCCCGAGTGAGCACAAACACCGACAAGGTTCTGAATGATTTCTCTTTAAGCAAATAGGGAGCTTCCATTTTCTACATCTACATGGAATTCCCACTACATCAATTCTAATTAAATTAAAATCAAAAAATAACATCGATCTCTAAGAGGTCTCGATGACCACGTTAGAGAAGCCGAGTTACACAAGTTAGCAAGAAAAAGAGTGGGACGACCGCAGTTTGTCCACTCTTTAGATTTATTTTAGCGCCTAATTGGTGTCTAAACTGCTCTCAAACTCCAAGCTCTGATTAGTGTGATGCACTTTACAACAGAGGTAGTAACGCAGCACGGTACGGTACGGTACATGCCCTAGTTTTATTATCATCATATGATGATGACCTTCTACGCATGATGAGGTACTTGCCTTTTTTCCGATGGGCTTCACGTCAACCCTCCGATTCCGTCCGACCTTTGTCGACAAAGAGAGAGATAGAGAGATGAACATAATATTCACAGGAGTGCCTGCCCCGCCGTGTTGTAAAGTCCGACGGAATAAATATTGTTCGAAGGGAATAGATAATAAAATCGTAAATATCATCATAGAAGGAAGGGAAAGAGAGTCTACGGTACGTTTGTCGTAATTATTTTAATACGTCCAGTCTCCCATGTTTGTTTGTGTGGGGCGAAATTGAATTCATGGATTAGGATATGAATTGTACGGATCGAATCGGCGGAACCTGCACGGAGCAAGCACAGGATGATAATGCGGCTCTAACTTATGGCTCGATTTGTACATTGCGATCGGTGAATTTGACGAATAGGTCGAGGCTGGTGCTGGCGATTTGAGCTGTTGAGCTCGGTCGCCCGGTGTGGTGGGTGTGGGTTTGGAAATGGCTGAGAAGAAGGGCAGCGCTGGGACTAGTGGCCACTCTCCTCCTGTTCCGAAGATGGTGACGCTGGAGGAATTCGTCAGCAGAACGGTGCCTTTGATTCAACTGGAAAAGGTGCATCTTCATGCTCGTCACAGGTTTTCCCTTGTTTCCGAATCGTCCTCAGTGTGCTTCCGATTGTATCAGAGCGGGTGGTGTGTAGAAATTTCAGCCCTGCATTTTCCGAATTCATGTTGAATTCGGTGTAAGGGAATTGCAAGCCACTGCTGTCTTTGTATACCAGTGATAATCTATTGGAGAAGGAATTTATCACTCCTAGTCCACTGCCGACGTCTGTTCGTTAATTTGGGCTCTTCCTTCGGATTTTTTATTTCTTCGAATTTGGATCGAGTTCTTGTTCGTCCTGAATTTACGGTGATCACTACCACAATCAGGAAAAAGTGCACTATAATGCTTTTGACTTGGAAAGCGCCTCAAGGAACGCGTCTGTTAGGATGATTATTGCTGTCTAGGCCTTTGTGACGTCAAGAGTTGTTGCAATCGTAAACTTTGGAGTACCACACAAGAGGTCTGAGAACTGGTTGCAAACCTTTGCAAAGATAAATGGCTTTGTCTTGATAAAGTTGACCTGACTCTGAAATTCGAAGCTTTCCAATTCTAAAACTTTTTTGAAGTAATGTCACAAGTTTTTGTGCTTGTTGCAAAGCAAATGTTAGCCGTCACAGGCTGTGCTCATTCCTTCTTCGAGATCGTGACGCCCTGAAGTGCTCAATTTACTTGTGTAGAGTTGCCTCCTTTATGATGCTGCAAAATAGTACTTGTTGGGAATATGTAACTTTTTCCATTTATGGAATTCATTGTTTGAAGTCAAGAAATGTTCACTATCGTTTTTCAGGATGCGGAGATTGCAGCCTCTGTTGGATCCCTTGCAACTCTCAAGCCCGAAGCAGCTGAAAAGAAAGGAGTTACTCTCCTCAACTTGAAATGTTCGGATGTCCAGGTTTGTGTCACTAACAGTGTTCACCGAAGCATATGCACAACATGCTCTCTGCACTGCTTGTGTTGTTTGTTAGGATTCTGAGAAGGGAAACTGAATTAAGAAGTTTTCAATCATCAATAAACCGGTGACTCTAAAGCAAGTCCTTTCTTCTTCCATGTAATGTGCCTTGATTGTAGACAGGACTCTTTGGCAAGACAGTGCTGGAGCTAAAGCCGAATAGGGGTGAATTGCTGCCACCTCATAAGGTATGAATATTTTGAGTACGATGAAAAGTATGGAGAGAGAGAAGAGAGCATGGAATGTCGTGTGAACGTCCTTACATAATATTGAAAGGCTCAAAGTACACAACGATTTGCATGCTGTCCCTGCAAACTACGTTAATATGAGACTACCGTACAGAATACCGACAACGGTGGCATACCTTCAGTTGCTGTGTGAGAACATAGTGAGGCTGGTTACTATATGGAATAAGAGTTCAGTGAGAAATCTGCCCACTGGCCTTAGTGTTTATCTTCTTCGTTCATATTATAGTAACACTGGTTTCTTATCTTCTTATATTTATACCTAAGTTGCCTAGATGTTTCCCTGATTCTGTTTCCTAAGGGTTTGGTGCTACAATCGTGTGATGCAGATGACTCCCCATGATGTGGTGGTACTGAAGTTGAACAAGTCCGACTCAGCCAGCACACCACTAGCACAAGGAGTCGTGTATCGAGTGAAAGTAAGTCTCTTGTTTAAGCTGCAGGGGTAGAAAGATGTGTCACTCAGTTTTAACTGTCCCGGATCCACATGTGACGAGGCCATTTTTGAGATTTTTGGCATGAAAGTGAAACTATGATCGATGATTGTGCGAGCACCACCACCTAACACCTTACCCTTGTTGACAGGATGGCTCCATCGTCATCGCTGTAGAGGATGTCCCTGAAGATGGTCTCAATTCACCTCTTCGTCTTGAGAAACTTGCAAACGAGGTACTATAGGAGAGTTAAATGATCTGCGCTGAATTTTGTTATTTTGACGTGTTACATAGGTCGTTCTCTATCCGTGGAAATCTATGTTTTATGTAAGTAGTTTTTTTTTCTAATCCAATTGGTATCTAGTCTGTATTTGTTCTCGGTACTGGTTGTGTGACTCCATGATGACATTTACATCAAAACATGGCCTTCATTGAACTCGAAATTTTATTGTAATCACCTTGATTGATCGATTTTGTAGGTCACCTACAAAAGGCTGAAAGATACACTCATAGAACTCAGCAAAGGTGTAAATAAAGGGCCTGCCACAGAACTTGTTCCAGTTTTGTTTGGAGCTAAGGCCCCAAGCTTTGCAAAGAAGCAGTTGTCCTTCACCCCATTCAATAGGGACCTCGATCATTCACAGGTGAGTCCAGCAGTTTTAATGTCAAACCCGTGATTACAAATTTGAACTCTTATTCACAACTAGCTAAAAAATCCGTTCGACAAGAAGGGAGGCTTTTGTCTGTTTTTTTCTGCCGTAACTGGATAAGTATGTTACTGAGGCGGGATTGAAACTTTCTGTGGTAAGAATGGAAGAAATTAGACATTCGGAGTCTGCAGATAGAAGCGTGGTATTGTTTAAATCAGATTATCAGCGGACCACGTTAGTCACATGGAGAGGACAGTTGTGTTACTAACGTGCTTTGAGGTCACAGTCCATATTTTGGTGTGCTAAGTCATGTATTACAGTGGTTCAGTGCAAGCACAGAGCGAAAATCAGCTTCAGACATCTAGGAGGTCTGACTTAAGTTAACTCGATATGTTTAAGTGGGTGCCTGATGCTTGATGTGCGTGTTTGTCAGAGCAGAGGGCCGCCATAGCGAAGGCACTTATTTCAAACAATGTAATGCTCTTACATGGACCACCCGGTACTGGGAAGACCACGACGGTTGTGGAATTGATCTTACAGGAGGTGAAACGAGAAAGCAAGGTTCTCGTTTGTGCAGCATCAAATATAGCGGTTGACAACATAGTGGAAAGACTTGCATGTCACAAGTACGTTACAAGTCACATATGCAATTATTCCGGTTCGCACAATTGCCCACTGAGCTCCATACTGAAAAGAATCCAATCCATGTTTATTTCGCAGGGTTTTGATGGTTCGTTTGGGTCATCCTGCACGGCTTTTGCCTCAAGTTTTGGATAGTGCTCTCGATGCCAAGGTTCGGAAGTGGATGTATGTCACTGTTGCGAAAGTAAACCATCAAACATCATGAAGAAGCTGTTAGGGACAAGAGCATGATGCCGTCCTTGAACGGAGTATATGTTTGATCATGTGTGTTATTTGATATGCAGGTCATGAAAGCGGACAACAGTGCGTTGGCAAACGACGTTAGAAAGGAAATGAGGGTGCGATCAAGTCCATGTCTTCTCCCCCCTCCTCCCTCCTCCCCCTCCCCCTCCCCCTCCCCCATCCTCTCATTTCCGCTGTGTATCACATGGAGATCTCTTCTTGTATCTCCACTTGCATAAAAGCTTTTGTTGAACCACGAAGGTCTAAGTGTTGACTCTCTCGTGAACGTTGACTATTTAATTCCCTAGAAGGTCTTTTATATGTGAAATGATTCCAGCGGGACTCTGAGAGTGAGGAAGATAATGTGAATCGATGAAAATGTTAGCATCTCAAGCGTTAGAGCCAGAATGTACCTCTAAAAGTCATATGCGTGTCTCACTCCAGTAGAAATTAGTCATTGAGAAAGACTTAGAACTTGATCTCATCAACATTGTATGAGATCTACACCGATTATCTATTGAATGTGTATTCAAGTTTCACGGTCTCTTCATCCCGTCTGATGAAATATTGTCTTGTTTTACAGGTCATCAGTAGTAAACTTCTCAAGGCTAAGGATAGAAAGACTAGGGGAGATTTACGACGGGAACTAAGAAATCTGTCTAAAGAGGAAAGGCAAAGGCAACAACAAGCAGTGACAGACGTTATTAAAGACTCGTCTGTCATCTGCACTACTTTGACTGGGGCTCTCTCTCGTCAGCTGAATCAGACTAACTTTGATGTTGTGATAATTGACGAGGCGGCACAAGCACTTGAGGTGGCTTGCTGGATTGCACTTCTAAAGGTAAAAGCTGTAGACATTGTTCGTCCATAAGCTGTGGATATCTTTCAAGTGTAAGAAAATTTCACAAAGTCAAAATTTCCAAGTCATATGATTTGTCTGAGGAAGTTGCGTCATGCATCATTTGATCAAATAGTTGAATATGGTTGCTTTCACTGGTTTATGGTCTTACGTACCACTCAAATGACGGTACTGTACCTTTTAATGAATCTTCGCCTGCAATGTCTGGTTCTTTCAGGGTCGTCGTTGCATTCTAGCAGGAGATCATCTACAGCTGCCTCCTACTGTTCAGAGTGTGGAAGCAGAGAAAAAAGGGCTAGGTATCACTCTATTTGGACGTCTGGCAGCGCTATACGGTGATCAGATAACGTCAATGCTGACTGTTCAGTATCGAATGAACGAATTAATAATGGGTTGGTCTTCGGGAGAACTTTACGATAATAAGGTACTGTACAAATGCAAGCATTGTTAGCGAACCACTACATTTGTATGTTAGACCTACGTATTTGTTCTTTTGAAGCTTCTGGCTGCATGTGGTTAAAATTGGGCTTGACAATTTTTCTACATGCAGGCTTCAAAGGCAACGTGAATGACTTTGAGGTGAAGAGATATATTTTTGGGCAACGTTTTTTCTCTCTTTGTTGATACATATTTCCTTCCTTACTGCAGATCGAAGCTCACGATAGTGTTAAGGACCATACTTTGAGTGAACTGGACGGCGTGACGAGCTCATCGGCAGTAGATCCCACACTCATTCTCATAGACACCGCTGGGTAAGCCGTAACTTGTCGTCGTTTGGATGAACTTGTTAGTGTTTCATTGCATGTGAGTTGGCTTTTCAGGCATTCAGTAATAGTGATAAGCATGTCTGAATAATCAGGTGCGACTTGGACGAGGTCAAAGATGATGCTGATAGCACCATGAACGAGGGTGAAGCAAAAGTAGCAGTTGCCCATGCTCTGAGACTCCTTGACGCTGGAGTCAAGGCCTCAGACATAGGCATCATCACTCCGTACAACGCTCAGGTCTTTTAACAACTTCCCTTTTATTTCAAGATTCTTCTTGGGACTAAGACAACCCACTATTAAACAAGAGGCTCATCGTAGACTAGGACCTTCACACGCTAATTATGTAGATATAAATTGGCTCTATTTCTGGACAAAGCCTGATTTGCTGTCTAGAATATGAATATAGCAATTTGGAATACTTTCAGAGCAATATTTTTCAGGAGTGTTGTGTGCAACTTATTTTATGAAGCGCTTTGCATCAAGTCTTGACAACTTGTACCCACCTTTTTGTGTCCTTCTGAACAGGTCGGCGTTCTTAGACTGATGAGAGCTGGAGACAAGAAGCTTGCAGATATAGAAATAAGCAGTGTAGACGGTTTTCAAGGACGTGAGAAAGAGGCCATCATAATCTCAATGGTGCGGTCGAATGAGAAGCATGAGGTATAATCTATATTTCTTTTGTGTTGCCTCCTAACTATATCCGGATTGTTGCACAATCCGGATAGAGGTCATGTTTCAGTACCACGAAAGTTACAGATGGTTATTGAAGGCTTTCCTTGTTCGTTCCAGAAAACAGTGAGGGCCTAGTTTGTGTTCAAGGACATTTTTCGTGCATTTCTGATCTCAGAAATGCACGAAGGTATACAATTATTGACTTGGTATCGAGAATTGAGCATGTAATACGTTATTTTTAAGCCGAGGCCGCCAGGGGTAATTTCATGCTTGAATCGTACCTGACTCTTTCATGACCACTTATGTGCAGGTGGGGTTTTTGAGTGATAATAGGCGAATGAATGTGGCTGTCACTCGTGCACGACGACAATGTGTGATCATATGCGATACGGAAACAGTATACAAGAACCCTTTTTTGAAGCGTCTGGGTAACTACTTTGAAGAAAACGGAGAGTATCTGAGTGCCATGGAATATTTAAAGTGAAGGTCGATGTCTCCGTAGTCAACCCACGTGGATTTCTCCTGCCTCACGAAGAAAATTTAGTTTATCTTAATTCAGTCGAATTTGTGAAGCGCGGAAGCCTACTCCTATAGCATGGAATGGTTTGGAACCCTGTGGATGATCTTGTTGGGCTATGTTGTCCACTCGAGAGGCTATCTCAATTTCGAAGCCTCATATATTTCTCAATTCATTCATTTATAAATTCTATTACACAATGGTGGCAAACTTGAAGAAAGACTCAGTTACGACGATCCCAGTGAGTCTTCTGTAATTTTCTGTATGCTTCTCGGCCCATGAGCTCAACCTTCACTATCGTAGCTTCCATGACCATAATCTCAAGTGCTTCTGTAGACTTCTGTATAGTGTATGAGACACAGTGCAACTTGAAACTGCGCTGGGTCAGCGCTGAAGTTCTCACCGCCAGTCTCACCCGACCGTGGACCTGATTTGACTCAGGAATAGACCTCGCTCGCGTCCACAGCCGCCTCAGTTGTAAAGGTGTTAGTGAGCATATACTTCTAGTCCTGGCCTACGGGTGCTTTCCACTGACAAAGCCACTGTGTAGTACCGACCACTCTCGAACTCTGTACATCCGTATATAAGTACGCTGTACAGTCCGAGTCCAAGGGCAGTTATGTAGTGTACAAGTGCACAAGCTGAGTCTACGGCGAGAGACATGATTCGAAAGCGAATGTACGTCGAGGTTGGAAAAGATTGCGGACTTCGTAGACACGAAGTGGAAGTGGCTTTCGTGGCGAATTACTTGAGATTGCCATGCGTATGGTGGAGATTTGTAGCTCTTATTGCATGCATGCAAGGAAGCAAGCAAACAAGCAAGCGTTCTGACGCCTCTGCAGAAAATGTAAGAAATCAAGCTGTTAAAACTACACACGTTATGGACTAGAGGTTGTACATTTTGACTAAAACCATCTTCCCACTTCTTCAACCTTGACTCGACTTTCTTTCGACCCCTCCAAAGCTGCAGTTGGAACCTGGAACCGTGACGCTTCGTTTTCTGAAAATTAATTTCACCCTCTTCTGGAAGTCCAGTTTCGACATTATTAGAAGAGTGCAGAAGGTTAATGTATTATTAACCTTCTTTCTTGCTGTCGGAGGCCATTAGTTGCCTTTCAATTCGGTGGACGTGGAATTTTAGTGGGAAAACTTTATGGATGGGGTCAAAAAGAAAAAATTCGCACGATTTGACTGATTTGGCATTCTAAACTCTCGAGACTCCGAGAAGTTTATTCGTAGAATGACCAGGGAGAGATGGTCCTGCAATGGATTAATTGTGTGACAGAAGTGGTCAGATGAGAACAAGTTTTCACATTTACGATGAGACGAAATTTGTTGGATTTGGTCAATCACTTGCAGGTGAAATATATGGGAATCTTTTGAAACTCATGAAAGTTCTGCTCGTGGCCCATGAAGAAACTGAGGCCTGGATGTGGAACCTGAAGCGAGTGCTTTGAAACCTTTAGTTTCACTTCAACGTTATACATAACAGCGTTGAGCTGATCGTTGTTCTCCCTCGAAGATTATCCAAGCTAAGGATACCGAGAAAGAATTTACTTTGGAGTATGATTTTTTAATTCACATTCAAATGAGAATGGGAAATACATGAAGGATTCTCATCCTTCTAAATGCGTCCAAAAGTCAAGAGAGGCTGCCACATACCCACTCTATGTGCATCAGTCAACATTCTCATTGTCATTGAAAGAACGGACTCGACTCCAATGAGCACATCAATGTTGCATACACACACACAGTGACCAAGATCAACCTCGGGTCAAACCCAGAATTATTAACCACCAGTTGCCATCTTGTTTGTTCAAACAAAAATAAAATCAAATATGAGAGGTCCCTTGGTTTCTGCTGCATTTCCGTTCACTGCTTTGGTAGAAGTGAAGATGGCCGAAGTATCCTGCCCTTCACTAGGAACGAGTATAAATGAAAATTATAATGGTCAAAACGCTATGAGATATCTTCATTCAGGCGTTTAATACCTGCGCCATAAAACTTGAATCAGTAATATATGCACCCTGAACATGTGACGTGAACAGTATGTTGGGAAAATCACATATATCATCTAATATACTCCTTATCATTTAATTCTGTGTGCTTGTTTATGATTCGAGTTTCACCTCACCTTTGAAACCCCCCATCCCATGCATAGTACTCCTTCATTGCGGGATTCTTGTAGAGAGGGACCTCAATAATCATAGTCCAATTATTAAACCGGCTGAAATGTATCTCAGTTCCATGACCTTTCACCAAGAGAGAGCTTACACCAAGGCAGAAGAGTACAACAATAATTATTAAAGATTACATTAAAGCGACGTCTTTGTCTTTTGTAGCATTGAAATAAATAGGTTTGATATGACAATCTTCAGCTGGAGCTATTTTACATCTTCACATCCTTGAAAGTGACATGACATGCCCAAACCATGTACCTAAGCTTTCGTTTGCACCACTACGTTGACCTAACTAGATCTATGATTTCATGAAATTTCAGTCTCTTCGCATATAATATATTATTTTACATCCAACAACTTGCTTTCAGATCGATGCTCGAAGATGATAATGATGATGTTGTTGGAGCATCACCAAGTGACTCAAACGTTTTTTGTGAAAAGTATACGCAACCGAGAACGAGAAGAATATATCTTTGATGATGATCTTATAAGAATTGAATTCAGCATTAGTGCTAATCAAAATGGATTCAGTTAATATTGTGTACTAACTTGAGGCTCGATGAGGCCGCTGCCTTTGGACTTATCACAATAGTTGTACTTTCTAAAATCGTTGTCTTATGTATTATGACGCTGTATCTGCAACTACTGTACAGACCTTGAACCTATAAATAATCCTCATGACCGAGAAAGGTTCCAAATACGGTGACTTGATTTCACCTCACCCCTGTTATGATACTCTTGATTGACTTTAATGTCTTCAGTTGATCGAGTCATCTTGACCAATATATATTGTTTTATTGTTGAAATGTTTGTCTATCAAGAGTAAGCACTTGTTCTACCTCCAAAATCAACATGTTTTTGTGCGAGAGATGATAATTTCGAGATAGTTGTATAAAGTAGACCCTATATTTTAAAGCTTATTGGGAACATTATGTTTTCATCAATCTACAATTGGCATTAGTTTGGCACATTATAAATAAAGTGATGTGAATCTTTTTCTTGTAGTAAGTAAATATCTTGATCTAGATAATATAGATATATTACCTGCTCTATGACATATTTTCAGTAGGTTGGGGGATATTGGGGGCCTAGCAACATGCTTCTTCCAAGTATGGACATAAGGTATTTCAAAAGGATGGCTTGTGCATGAGTTTAAATTTTGATGGAGGAGGCCACCATCACTTGGAGCCACTAGAGGTAAAAATTTCAAGACGATCTCAGCCATATTGATAATTACCAAATGTGTTGATCATCAACAGATTATGTCCTTTTCTTCATAGCACGTAGACTGCTCCTGGATACTCATGTCATTTGGATTGCAGCTTAATTAGTTCCAACTGGACTATGAGAGTAAAATTTTTCAATTCTTGTTTGTCAATTCTACAAACTTTAGATTAAGTTCAAATCCTCAAGGAAAAATTGAAGATAGAAATGAATCCATATAAGAAATAAACAGGTGGTTAAGTAAGATTCAAAATAAGAGGAAATCGATGAAGTAATAAATCAGTCATCATCTTGAAAATATGAAAGAATCATTTCCATGTGATCCACCAATTCAATATGTCTAGTCCCCATCAGCCGATTCTTATTCTCAACCATTGCCATCTTGCGTCTCTGGCTCTCGTTCTTGAGCTCAGCGTAGCATAGCCGCACACAAAAACAATTTCCATGGATTAGAATTAAGTACAGAGCTTTTTAATCAGTACGATCGAACACCATGGCTCCGAGATGAGCGAGGAGATGCTGGAAAGTGAAGCTCTGAACGGGAAAGAACGGAATTCTGGAAGTTGCTCGCTCTGATCATTCTGAAAGACGAAATAGAGAAAAAACTAAATACGAAGAAATGGCAATAATCAGTTCTTCAGAACCAAAAAACAGTTCGATTTGTAAGAAATCAGTGACCTTACTTGCACCTTGCGTTGCCAGAAATGTCTTCAAGAAGAAATAAGAAGAAGAAATGCTTTAAGCCCTCGACGAAGACGTCGAGGGCTTAAAGCATGCCGTCATTCACGGTACGATTACAAGATTTGTTTACGACGATTTGTCAAAAGCGGCTGCTTTATTTTATGGGCACCAAACTGCAATTTCAAGAACCGGCCGAGGGAGGAAAGGGTGTCCGAAGAAAAGGATGAGGATGAGAAAATCAAGACTTTTGAGTCTTCCAAGATCGAGGCGCAATGGTGACATGCCTGCTGCTGCTGCAAGGGAATAGCGGGTCCCCGTAGACCGCCACCTTCACCTTTCCTCGGAGATTTTGCTGCTGCCGCTTTCGCAAAAGTGACCTCGGGTCAAGGTTACCTTTCTGCGCAGATTTCGATCGCATGCCCGCAGCCTCGGTCGAGCTTTTGACCCCGCTCAACTCCCACCGGTGGTAACTCGTCGAGTCACCCGAGTGAGTGTTTTTTACCGCTACGCTTTGTCGTTCACCGCGGAACATCGGTCGGTTCTAGGTCGGCACGAGAGGAGCTCGCCGGGCACGGGCACGGGCACGGGCCAGGCGCCGAAGCCAGCCGGGGCTTGTTGACGAAGCTGGCGGACTTCGAGAATACGTCACTGTCGATGTACGCACGGGAGGGGAGGGGATGCAGGGGATCTGGGAGCGAAAAGAAGCGAAAATTGCCGAAGACCTCCAGCGGAAGACCGGGATGGAGGAATTAATTCCCCCATCCCGGTCATGGGGGGCAATTAACCCTAACGAAGAAGGCAGCAGCAGCCGTGGGAGGGGGAGAGGAAGGGGCAAGGGGGAAATATTTTATGCTCCAGCCAGGCCCAGGACCAGGAAGGGCGGGCGGCTAGGAGGTAAACCCTAAAAGCGTAACAACCCTAAAAACGAAGCGAGGAGAAGTCGTTAGGGCAGGGGCATTAAAATTGACTAGAGTACTAACGGACTCGTGGTAAGATAACAGGAAAGTTGTCGTGGCCGAATTTCAGTGGGCCCACCCCGAATCCGCACGTGAGCTCGGCAACGGCAGGCTCCGAACTGCCATGTGGCAGCGGCGAGCAGCGGAGCTCTCTGCGCGCATTTCCGTCCAATGCCCGACTCGGAATCAGCCACGGGTTCTGACCCTGCGGTGAAATCAAGAAGGTTAGATCGAGGGGTAAAGGCTCGGTTGTCGGAACGGTAACACCCGAGTTACGGACCGACTCGCCAGTGACGGCGCTGACCGTCTCGTCTCCGGCCCGACTTTCCCCAGCCGCAGTAACTTTCCGCCTTCTCCACGCCGGACTTTTCTTGCCCGAGCCGTGCTCCGCATTTCCGTCGCGTCTGACGTATTTCCTCTGCCCCCAGGGCTTCCCAAGAAAGTACCGCATCCGAGTCCTCTGCATAATTCCAGGCCCCCGCGTTTTCACTCCCGATTTCTTTATTCTATTTCCTCGCGGACGGAGACCGTAGACGTACATTTCCCCCACCCCCCGATGTCCCCCCGCTCCATTGAAGGAAATGTCAGTTTTTTCAGTTTGTGTATCGACGATATGATCGGTATTGTGAGAGCGACGCCTTTATGATGCGTGGACGGACGGATATGCACTGTAACGGACATTCACATTCCGCCAGGCATACCTGGGACTCGGGTGCCTGGGGCTGAGCCCGAGCACAAGCCCAAGCCGAAGCACGAGCCCTCGCTTGTTCGGTCACAATAAGAAGCGCGGAGACGAGACGAGACCTTGACCGCGTCTTGTAATTTCTGAATGCGACGGGGTCAGATTAAACGTAATTAAGAGGAAAGGCTCGAAGAGTGTTCTGGCATTAGAGGCTTGGGGGCCGGGGGCTGGGGGCCGAGGCCCACCGAGCGAGCACGCACGCACGCCCGCGCTCACGGGGTTCAGGGGGGTTGCGCAATAGGGTAGCAAGCATTAGGAACAGGGTTAACGTTGCGCCAGGAGGGCTTAATAGGCGCAGCAGCGGCGGCAGCAGAGGCACCCACCACCAGCGGGGCAAGGAGTGGAGCAGAAGAAGGCTCGAACACGCACCAACCAACCAACCGACTGCGAATGATCCCATGAACGAACTGGATCTGCAAGTACCGTCCACCTCAGAACCGAGTCGCTCGCTCGCATACGAGCAACGGGAGCGAGCGAGGGGGGGATTCGGCCAGAAGGTGAACGGTACCTGCGGGCGAAGTCGTGCAAGCGCGAGAGAGTGCTTTTGGGGCTTGGACTATGCGAGAGTGCCTGACAGGCACCGAGACACGATCCGATGAGGACAGCGCCAGAAAACAACCGTCAAACGATCGATCGCAAGAGTTGATTCGAGGGGAAGGACGAAACGACCCCGATCGAGGCGAATGATGCTTCGCCGCTCTTGTACCGCGGCGAGGGGGGCTCTTGTAGGGAGCGTTACTGTGTGGCGGGCTGGGGCTCGAGGCCCATGTAGAGTAGAAAACAAGGCACGGTATTAAACTCCGGCGCGTAGCCGCAGGCGGGGATGGGTCCAACCACCCGGAATACGGGCGTCGATGGCTGCCCCGTATGTCTCATGGATGCCCCCATGCCCATGCCCCCATGGCCCAGCATGCCCCGCGTGGGATCGGAATCATCATACATTGTCATCTGCTCGAGAAAGCGTTAAAAAGCCCCCACGAGCCCTCACGGACGGACGGCGAGTCATCACCCCGTCCCCCGTCCCCCGTCCCACGCCGTCGACATAACGTACCAGGCTCTCCGATCTCCTCCTCCTTCCGCCGCGAGCCCCCGTCCTGTCGTTTCCTGCCGGCGACGTCGCCAGCGGCTGACGCCCCCGGGCCCCGACTGCATGTCGCACCACGCCACGTATGCCGACGGAGAACCGACATCCGTCGAGGACAGCGACGCCCGTCGTCGTCGTCGTCGTCGGTTATGAGGTCTGCGACTAAACCTCCGGCAGGCCGAACTGTTCAGATGTGGCTCCGTCGGGGCTCCGGGTCTGGGGGTGGGGCTGGGCCTGGGCCTGAAGACTTGGAATGTTGGGGTTCATATCGTCGACTAGGACGTGTGACGACGGCATGACGGAGCCGTCCCCCAGAAGGGGGAGGGAGCCCTAATTTGGCAGAGGACAAGGATCAAGGATCAAGGCTGGTGTGCTGGGCTAGCCCTACACTAGCACCACCACTACCACTGTAGGATGTGGATGGTCGTGCGAGTAGGGACTCAACTCCCGCTTCCCCCCAGAGTCAGTCCGGGGGGCCGATCGAGTTATGAGCTGACTTGTACTCTCTCCGGCTCCTTTTTTTATGATTTGTCCTAAAGACTCGTCTTCACGCGGAAAGGGACAGCGACAGAGACAGAATTGTTGGCGATTCCTCCCCGTCCCTTCCTCTTTTATATATAAAACTAAATTACTACTTTATTCCGGCCATCCTCTCGTTAGAAGAGCGACCTGCCTCGGTTACAGTGACGCGGGGCCACGTTCTCCTCCGCTGCAAGCGACAGCGACCGGGACCGGGACATGGACTGAAGAATCCGACGGACAAGGACCACGTCACGAGTAAGAATACCCCGAAGAATGGAAACAGCCCCCCCATCGAGATGTACACGGACGAAGCGGAAGGGGGTAACATGCGGCTAGGCCCCAGAGGCATCGCCGAGGGGGGAACGTCCTCCTGCCGCACCGACGAGGAGGAGGACGAGGACGAGGGGCGAGGGGTAGAGTTTGATTTCCACGTCTCTGCCTGAGAGACGGATGAGAAGGATTTCGTGGTCCGTCCGGTTAGGTCACGAGGACCGGTGTCGGCCACCGTTGCAGATCCGGTCTCGCACCGAGGGCAGATTGCGATTGTTGGCGACGAATATTTGTTCGCAATCTCTCGCCCATGAAATGCACTCGTGCCCTGTCGGCCACATTTGCAGATTCATGGGCCTGCGAGGGGGGTTCAGCCAGGGGGGGCTGGGCTTGGGCCTGGGCCTGGGCCTGGGATCCGAGCGGAGACCGGAGAACGGGCCCGGCGACCTGTCCACGCGCAGGGCTCGGTTCCAGAGCCTTCGGGCAACAGAACAGAACAGAGGGCAGCACGGGAAACATCAGCGAGGGGGGGGGGGGTAAGGGAGGGACTCGTTCGTCGGGGGGTTGCACAGGGGGGAAGCGGGGGGGGAGGGCCATGATCTGGAGAGCGGGGTCATTAAAGACGGAAAGTGTGTGAAAGTACGTGGAGGAGGTGTATGTACTCAAATCATGGGACGTCAAAATGGAGAATAGTACAGTATTAGGTACAGACAGCGACGGCCGCGAGAGATCATCAGCGTCACGATTGCATCGCGCCCAGTTGTGTGGAAAGAGGAGGGGGAGTGAATTCCGAGCGTAAGTCACGAATATTGAGAGCGATGGTGGCGCTCGCTAAACAGATGGAAAAGGTCAAGAGGAGTGCATGCGAAGGAACTTCACACGACACAATTAAAAGATTCAACAAATCCGAGATCAAAGGGAATCCTTGCTAATTTAATCCTCCTCCCCAGCTTTCACACAACAATCTTCTAAACTCGGCACCTGCCTGACAAGACCAGACGAGCAGGACGGATCTGCTGTAAAATTGGCCCCTTCTGGTCACCCTCTTGTCCTCGTCGATCAGAAGGAGCAGCCCCCGGAGAAGAAGAAGAAGAAGCAGAAGAAGAAAAAGCGCAGCAACAACAAAAAGCAGAAGCAGAGATGGTGACGGCACCCATGGCGGTGGCTAAATCACTCTGCCCCCCGCGGAAAGAAATTAAGAAAGAAGGAAAGAAGGAAAGAAAGAAAGAAACGGGACTGTTCGTTTTCTCGTGACCTTCACCCTCCTGGGGCTGGGGCTGCCTGCCTGCCCCCCTGCCTGCTTGCCTTCGTGGCTGGGGCTCGGCTGACATAATACATTACAGGCGACGGGGCTTGGACATTCTGTCAGATCCCTGGTCTAAGCGTGGGTTGCCCTACCTACAGTGGCTAGCAGGGCTACTAGAGGCGGCTATTTTTGGACGAGGGGGGAAGGGGGAAACATAATGTATCCGGGGCGGGGGCAAGCGATGGGGGAAGAAAAGTGGGGGTTCGGGGTGCCGCTGCACTTTTGACCGAGCGGACATCCCCGTCCCTACGGCCGGTGCTAGAGAAATTCTTGTACAGGGGGGCGTGTGCGTTTGATTGAATGTGTCACGATGCCCGGGAGTAAAGAGCCGCTCTTCCTGCTCTTGCTGTCGTGAGAAATGAGTTGGTTGCAATTCGAGCACGTTGCCTTTTCGTTTAACTTCTTGCTTCGCCGGTGGCAAGCTTCATTATTTGGTTTGGGGACCCCCACCCCCCTCCACCACTCGAGCGACCGACCGAGCCGGACAGTTGGACACGACGGGTACTGTGACGGCCCGACGGCCTCCCCCCTTCCCTGCCTGCCCCCCTCGCTCCCTCCCTCGCCAAGCACTCGACCCTCGACTCTTCGCTTCTCTTCGCTTCTCGACGACACAGATGCAGCCTGCCTGCTCTGCAGACATGGCGAAATGCGAAACACCAAATCGGTGTTCGACGAATGCGGGCTGGACGCACCCCTGTCCCGAACAGAATCGAACAGAACAGAAACGAAACGAAACGAAGCGAAACGAACGAAAGCGGGGCATGAGCATGGGTCGATGATTAGGAGTCGAGTGTGTCCAAATTGTCAGCTTTTTCCGCTCCCACCGACTCGTCTCGTCTTGTGCGAGGAGGCTCATGAAGCGGAAAATCTCTTTTTTGGACCATAAGCGTGCCTCATGACGCCGCAACACAGCCCCAGAAGAGGCCGCGCTAAGCCCGGGCGGGGCACCGCACCCCCAACCCCCTCCGTGCCACATCGCGTACAAAATACTGTATCATGGAACATTTGCTCGGTGGCCGTGACGAAACCGGAAGGAGGGCCGAAAGCCCATCATTGCAAAAGGGTCAAGCCCAGCCCCAGCCCCAGTCCCTCCCGGATCGTACGCAGTTCCGAGAGACCTGTACGAGGTCGGCTCGCCGAAGGTGGTTAATGTGTGTCCAAACGACTGCAGTCGCCGGGCCAGGCGACGCGGGCAGGTCCCCGAGGAACCAAATGGGGAGAGGAGTGGGGGCACGAAAGGGGGACGAAAGAACGACGTGTGCAGCGGGTTTTCACAGCTTTTGGGGGAAAAGGCGGAGCGAAGCGCTAATGCGATATCGAGATTAGTGCGCGTACTAATGGGCAGCACTAATGGCGGTCGCGGGGTAGAGAACGGGACAGGTGGAGCAGGGCATCAGCAGTTGGGGGTTACAGGTTAGGCCCGGCCGCGTTGGCAAGGAGCACAGAGCGAAGCTGCCACAGGACCGGCCAGCGCGACCCGAGGGCCGCGATTCCGTGGGGATCCCGCTGAGATTGCGCGACCCGGAGAGAAGCTTGATGTGGAAGCTCGCGAGCTGATGTGGCGCTCCGGTTGGCGCATCATTGTTGGCATGGCGGACGCGACCTCACGGACGGAAATTTAAGGGCTTCCGCGAGCGGTGCGGCCCCCCTCGGCTTCGGATCCGATCGAATTAGCCCAGGTTCGGACCGTATGACTCTACTTCTACCCCTGCGATCGCGCTTGCCTCCATCTCTTTTCTCCATCTCTTCTCTGCCATCTCGTTCGCCTCCTCCGCCGCCGACCCCTTCCGACGGAAGGTACAGTAAGCCAGGAGACGGGACGGGCGGGCGGGCAAGGCCGACCCGCGGCAGCCTAGGGGAAGAGGGGAAGACGGGAAGAGGGGCAGCAGCCCCAGGCCCCAGGGGCAGCGAGCGAGCGAGCGAAGTAGTAGTAGAGAGCAGGAGGGCCCAGCAGAAAAGAAGGAAGGCACGGAGAGAAGAAGAAGGAATAGCGAGAGAGCGAGCGAGCGGGCGAGCGGTCCGACTCCGAGCGGGGGCTAGAAGTGCTGCAAGGGCAGTGAAGGGGAGCGACGACGGGGAGAAGTTGTTCTCTCGCTCTCTTCTTCGTTTGGCTGGTGGTGTTGTTGTCGTCGTTGTCTAGAGAGAGTGGCGTGAGAGAGAGAGAGATTTGGGTCTTCCATCTTCTTCGCCGTTTGATCGTCGCTCGACGTTTGCTGGCAGGCAGCGAGGCGAGGCACTCGGGCAGGCACGCAGAGGCAGAGGCAGGCAGAAGACACAGGCACGCGCAGACTCTGAGAGTTAAGGCGAGAGAGAGAGAGAGGGAGGGAGAGAGCGCGAGGGGGTGGAGCAGGGCGGGCAGGCAGGCGAGCAGCAGGGGCAAAGGCTCGACGCGTAGACGAGGGCAGAGAGACGAGACGCAGCAGCTTTGACGACAGGCAGAAGAGGTGGGAGTAGAGGTGCCGCTGCTGGTGGTGGTGGAGGTGGCGCCGAGACGAGCAGCAGGAGGAGGAGGAGTAGTAGCCCAAGCCCATTGCTCTCGGGCGCTTGTGTGCTTGCGCTGCTGCTGCTGCTCGACGACGACGTCGTCGTTGTGATTGTTGTTTCTCGCCCCATCTACCAGCTGCTTCATCGGCATCGGCGCCAGAGAGGGGAGAGGGAGCCACGGGAGGGAGGGTCGGAGAGCAGGAGCAGGAGCAGGTGGGCGGGCGGGCGAGCGAGCGAGCCGAGCATCGCTTCATCGCTGCAGGTGTGCTTGTGCTTGTCTGTGTCTGTGTGAGGGTGCGCGTGCGCGCGCGCACCCGGAGGCTCGTGCTTGATGGTGCCCTTCTATTATTTTCCCTGGATGTCTTGAGTGCGGCTCCTCCTTCGTTTTTCGTCATCATCTGCATCCAGGCGGGGCGCTGGGAGGATTGTGTCTCCATCGCCGAATCGTGAACCTGGACGCCCAGTGATAGATTTCTTTGGCAGGTTTTCACGATTTTTCATCTGCCTCGTGGTTTTGTGTCGTGTCGCGCAGTGTGTCGTCCTCTGCTCGGCCGATGCCGACGCGGTGGCTCGAGCCTCGAGCAGATTTTTTTCTAAGGCCTCCGTGCGTTCGCTTCTTCATTTTCTTTTTCCCGCTGCAGTTTCGATCTCGGTGATTGCGATGTGCTTGCCATTTGTTCCGTGCTCGGCGAGGTGCCTGAGCCTCCCGATCGCCATCTTGTTTTCCCTCTGTGTGTTTCTTTGTGAATCATGACGGCTCAAGTCGCTCGTCGGTGTTTTCTGCCGTATTCGTAGCCGCGCTCGTCACTTCTCACTTGCATCGAGTGTGTGTAAGATCATCTGGCGGCGACATGTGCAAGGTGCCCTCGCATCTCGTGAACTCAGTGCTTGCCCTCATCTGTGCTTTGCGTGTTGTCGGGTTGAGATCTGAGGCGAGGAAAATTCGCCGCCATCGGACCGAGCTAGATAGGTTGTGACTAGAAGCATGAAAAGGTCGAAAGGTATGTCGTAACATCATATTTTTTAGGCTTCTTGTTGCATGGCGAGAAGGATCGGTAAAATGTGATGGATCCTCTGGCACAGGTCTCGGGGCTGCATTGCATTGCGCGGTGGCGGCGTCGCGGTGCCGGCTGGAGGGGGGTTCCGATGCAGGAGCCGTCGGCGTGACGAGGCGGGGACGGCCCGGGCCGCAGGGAGCCTTGCGAAGCGCGGAGGGAGAAGATTAAGAGGGATTGTCACGAAATCAGTAAAGCTGATGTTTTGCGGGCCCGATGTGGGGGGACGAATCCTTTCCACAAGTTGCGGCTCGTGCAGGAGGAATTTGTCTAGTATAGCAGAGAGAGAGGGCGAAGGAGGAAGTAGGCAGCGGGGATCAGCCGATTCGTGGCCGAGGGCGTGGGAGTCTCCGTGCATTTATGGAACAGGATGATGAAGAGTTTGAGCAGCTGTTGGGAGAGATCCCGCGCGCAACCTCAGCGCCCCCCCATCTAGAAGAATTGCAGAGAGCGTACGGAGCCGAGCTGAACAACTCGCCGTTCGTGGCATCGCTGCGAGAGGACAATCTGTCGCCGCCCGTGAAGCCTTTCATCGACATCCGCTGCGACGAGCAATACGAGAATTTCTACCGAAATTATTCCGGGGTGAAGAAGCTGCCGCCGCCCATGGAAAATCGCAACCTGTACGCGGATTACCCGCTCATGTCGCCCAAGGCGTCGTCGGGCAACAATCACCTGTCGCCCTTCTACAGCGGCCTGGCGCTGGATTCCCCGCGCACCATGGCAGGCATGCGGCGCCAGAAGCAGGAGCCGATGGCCAATCAGATGGGCGCCAGCACCAATTCGAGCAACAATTCCGGCCGCACCGCCTCGCCGCCCTCGGATCACCACCACCCGCCCAAATCCGCCGACGAGCGCTCCATCTCGGCCGCCTTCGGCAACCTCAGCTTCGAGGAGAGCCCTAGCAACGGGATGATGGGCGGCCGCCTGCACGAGGAGAATGTCGGCCCCGGCGAGAGCCGGGGCCAGCCCAACGGCGGCCTCGACCACGGCGGCCCCATGCCCAATGGCCGCAGCGCGGCCATCTCCAACGGCCTCTACTCGCACATGAGCGCCTTCTCCACGGGCTTCGCGCCCGAGCCCCCGGGCGGCCCCCTGGACGCCTTCGGCAACCCCCGCCCGGGGGTGCCCTCGGCCACCATGGACCTCTTCGCGCAGAAATCCGCGGGGCCCTCGCCCCTCGAGGCGCCCAGCAACGGCGGGGGCTACGCGGGGCTGGAGGAGTTCGGCGGCCCCGTCTCGCACCAGGCCCTCGAGAAGTTCCTGCGCCGCGGCTCGCCCCCGGGCCTCGACGCGCACGCCTTCAACGGCGCCGCGGCGCGCCAGGCCAATGGGCTTATGGTGGACGCCGGGGGCTTCGCGGGCGTCGGGGGCTCCACCTCCGCCGCGCACCACCAGCACCAGCTCGAGGCCTACACTGCGGCCGCGCTGCAGGCGGCGCGCCTCATGAACCCCGGCAACGGCAGCGATCTGTACAGCGGCATGGAGTTCAATTCGAACGCGCGCGCGCTCTACTCGCACCGCCTGCACCAGCAGATCGACGCCGAGCAGCGCCTGCGCGAGCGCCAGTATCAGTTACAACAGCACCAGCAGTCGATGAGGTTCTACGCCTCGCTGCAGGCGCACACGAACGGCGGCCTCGGCCCGGCCTCGGCCTCGCGCGGCCACTCGCCCACGGGCAACTCCTCGGCAATGCGCCAGACCGCATTGCTCTCCTCCTCGGCTGGCGCTGGGGCTGGCGCTGGCGCTGCCCCCGGATCCGCCGCGCACCACCTCAAGACCGTCCGCAGCCACGAGCAGCTCTGGACTGTCCCGGGCGCAGGCGGCGGGGCCTCGGTGATCGGCCACAGCAACGGCGAATTGGGCCGCGCCTCGCTGAATAACAGCATCTGCCGCTACTACGCGCAGGGCTACTGCAGCCGCGGCGATGCCTGCCCCTTCCTGCACACCCAGGCCTCGCAGGGCTTCGGATCCGTGCGCGTTACCCCTGGTAACACCTTCAAAGAGGCCGGCCGCGAGGATCGCCTCATCTCCGACAATAAGATGCTGCCCCGGCGTGGAGCCTCTCGCGCAGCTGCTGCCCCTGCCATCTCGGCCTCTGCTCTGCAGCGGCGCAAGCCCGAGAGCCTCCCTAATGGCACCACTCCGCACATCAACGGCCACGCCTATGTTAATGGCCACCACCCCAGCCCCATCAGCTTTCACGGCGACGTCCAGAATCACATTCATGGCGAGCACAATTTGGAGTATGAGGGCCCCCGACATGCCATCGTGGGCACTCCGCACCTGTCCCAGCAGAACCAGCAGCCCAAGTACAACACCTTGGAGGAGGTCGAGGGCCGAATTTTCTCCATCGCCAAAGATCAGCATGGCTGTCGCTTTCTGCAACGCAAGTTCGACGAAGGGGGCCCCGAAGATGTACAGAAGATATTCCAGGAGATCATTGAGCACATAATTGAACTCATGACAGATCCGTTCGGGAATTACCTTGTCCAGAAATTGCTGGAGGTTTGCAACGAGGAACAGAGAATGGAGATCCTGCACGTCGTCACCGAGAAAGGCGAACTCGTCCAAATATCTCTGAACATGCATGGGTATGTGGCCGCTGCAACCCATATGAACTGAATTTCCATCATTTTGGCCCACTGGTGAAGTTCGTGCCGCCTTTCCCGCCTGTCCAGCTTTGCATTTATCTTGGGGCCAGGCATGTTGGAAGGAATATGTCGAAGGTCGATGCGAGAACCTCTGTGAGACTTCACAAGAGGTTCTCGCATCCGACCTTCCGACACAGAAGATTACAGCTTGATCATCTGAGGCCTCCGTATATTACAGTGGTTTTCTTTACACCGATATGTGTAGTGTTTGGAAAGCAGATGTCTTATGATTTTAACTGATGTCTTATGCTCACTTCCTGGTGGCGACGTAATGATGATCGGTATGACTGTGCATCGTCTTGTGGAATAGAACTCGAGCCGTGCAGAAGCTGATCGAGACACTGAAGTCACCTGAACAGGTTGCAATGGTCATAGCTTCGCTTAAGCAGGGTGTGGTAACTCTCATCAAGGATCTGAATGGTAACCATGTTGTCCAGCGCTGTCTGCAACGCCTGAGCACAGAGGACAGTCAGGTAAGCTTGTCGTTGCGGAACTTGAGTGAAATGAAATGTGTTGTTCTAGGTTTTCGTTCTTGGACTCCACTGCCTGACTGTTAATATATCTCACACAAATTTCTTCGTAGTACATATATTACAACCTCTGATTGAACCTCCATCTCCTCATCACGGAACTAATTTGCGGATAATGTATGAACTATTAGCAGTTCATCTTCGATGCCGCAGCAGTACACTGTGTTGAGATTGCAACACATCGCCATGGGTGCTGCGTGCTTCAGCGTTGCGTGGATTTCGCTTCTGGACCTCAGCGACAGCGTTTGGTAACTGAAATTGCCGCCAACGCACTTGTCCTGTCACAGGATCCCTTTGGGTAAGCTGTAAGTTCATTTTGGTGCTGTTAGCGAGCTTTGGTGTGATAACATGTTTGTCTCTGTATGGTTAGCCAGCTTTGGTGTGCCAACGTGTTTGTCTCTGTATGGTTTTGCAGGAACTATGTGGTTCAGTACATTCTGGACCTCGGGATGCCATGGGCATCTGTGGAAGTTATGGTGAGGCTGGAAGGCAATTATCCATACCTTGCCATGCAGAAATTCTCAAGCAATGTGGTCGAGAAGTGTCTGAAGCTAGCCGGTGATGAGAATCGCTCTCGCATCGTTCGCGAGCTTATGGGGAGTCCACGACTTGGTCAAATGTTACAGGACCCTTATGCCAATTATGTTGTCCAGTCTGCTCTCACAGTTGCTAAGGTGAACTATTTTCACCCCTACTCGTTCTCTCGTGCTTGAACTATGGCCCTATTTTTCATCTCAGGAGAAGGTGTCTGACATTTTTCCCCTCGCTTGTCCCCAGGGATCTCTTCATACCGGGTTGGTCGAAGCCATCCGTCCTCACCTTTCAGTGCTACGGAGCAGTCCCTATGGGAAGCGCATCCTCTCCCGCACTAATCTTAAGAAGTAGTTCTCCTTCGGTTCAACATCTCAATGAACTCTCTTCATCAATGCTGGAGGGTGGCAGTGAAGTAGAGTATTTCAATTCTCGTGTAACACTCACGGGAGAAACGTGTATTGGTCTCCTCTCATGTGTTCTATATTAAGTTCGTGTCGTCGACTCCATTCATTCGGCATAATGTACAAAGCAATGAAGATGTGTGGTCAGGGGGTGCGTACGTGCACACTGTATTTTGGGTGGGATTTTAGGGCCATATCACACAAAGCAGTAAGATGAGCTTTGAATCTGTACATCAGAGCATGATTGATTGATGCCAAGAGAAAACAAGGGAGAGCTCGTTAGAACCTGGTCTTTCAGGCCAGCATTGATCCCCCATTTAGTTTCAGCAATAGGCCCTGTAGAGATGAAGAAAACACTGTTGAGGAAATATGGAGAACAGAGGGGTGTAGGGGGGTGGGAGCTGTCCTTTGTGAGCAGTCTCCCTATATTTTGGCCACATTGTAACAGATCCCGAGTGGACTGATATCACTTGGGGGTCTAAAACTGGGAAGGTGAGTATTATGGTAGGACACTCAGAAAAGAGTCATGTCAACAATAGGTAGGTTAGGGTTTGCTGGCTTATGTTAACATGTGGCTAGTGAACTGTGTATGTTCTACCCTCTCCAGCATAAGGGACGTGGAGAATCAGGGCACCTTTGTGCAGTAAAGCTCGCCAATCAAAAGATTAACTAGTTAGTAGGTAATCGATTACAAAGGGAGATGTTGTAGCCAGGTTGTATCAAGCCAATTTTTTGCTGGCTAGAGCGTCGGTGATTTTAGATTTAACCTTCTACAATTCATTTGTTGCAAATTGGCTTTACGCCGGAGGGATTATGTCCTGCACTGTTGTATCGTAAATGGTAACTTTTAAATTCAATATCACATTTTCATTATTGTCAGGCCTTCATTAGTTTTTGTCGAAGTGGTTGAAGATGCGTCGAACAGTCTATGGCGAGCCTAGACATGATCGGAAATGGTTTTAGTGTGATTGGGTAGTTGATGGGCCGAATGTTTTAAATGTGAATGTCGCTCAGAGTACATGATTGAACGGGCGTTCACGAAAGTGACAACCTTGTCTTCAAACTGCATGCGACGTCTCTGTGACGTCTGAGTAGAGTGTCCTCCTTACTGTATCTTACATCGGTAGAGATCATCATATGGCTTGAGAGGAAGGGTTGTTTTCGTATGTGTTGTTCTGAACCCTTTTCTTGCAGATGGTCGAGCCTGCCGGTTGACCTAATCTCTTTACTCGAGACATGAAAAGGTCTGCACGGTATATGACATCTGAACTATGAGGTCTGCAAAGTCGAATTTCCTTCATGTGCACAGAATCGTCGGAATTTCATTTGCCTCTGAATGCACTTGACAAACGCAGGGGTGGTGGTCGGATCTTTCGAACGGAACAGGGAGAAGGGAAGGATGTGGAGACCTTTATCACGGAATGACGGACAGCAATGTAGATATGAGAGAGAGCTCGACAGGGATCGAAGGAGGACTCATCCGATCTTCGTCAACATTCCTCGGAGGAGGAAGCAGGCAAACTGTTCGACTGAGCTCTGACCACCATTCTTTCCAGTTATATGATCTGGAAAGTCCAGAAAGGCGTTGCCTGGCTCGGAGTGAGCTGCATATGCATGAATCGTATGCTTAAGCTTTTGACAGCCAATAAGCTTAAGCTTGCCCCGACCTCTTTTCTCATCGGTACTCTCACAATCAGATTTCGAGGTCTGCTCTCTCGTACCCTTCGGTTAATGAGGCCGCAGGGCGTAGAGAACGTTTGCCGGCAATCAGAGTGCCGTGGCCCCACACTGGTATCCGCGTGGCCGCTGCCTCACCGGCGGACGACAACTATCTGGAGATCCAGACCCCGGCGACCGTCATTCCGTCCATCGATGGGTCGAACCGACGGAGCACGAGCGCCAGCGCCACGTTCCTCCAGCCGTAAAGACGTTTGTCGTTTCTTGTTCCGGGCTTGACGGATTCTCGTCGAGCTCAGAACTTTCAGACTTCCGCCAGCATTTCCGGAGCTCTCACTGACTCTGCTCGGGCGACGGCTGTCGACGGTCGGTGGTCACGGAGTCCACGGGTTCTGTCTGACTCCCGATGGAGAGCGGTGGCCGCCATGCCATCGTCATGGGACGCAGTCATCAGTCACTCCGTCAGTCACTCGATAGAAGGCAACTTCAGGAGACTACGTCGATGGCGACGATGATGATTTGGCACTTCCCGAAGATTCCGCCGAGCTGTCAATGTCGCAAGGGGCTCAATCGCTCCTCCCAGAGCATGCCAGTGGCCACTCGCGTGTACCTCGGGGTCCACGTTGGACGAAAGCGTCGCCAGCGAAAAATGCGACGTGGTCTGATGGCCAGGCCAAAAGAAGAGTGCTTAAGTCTACCTTGTCTCGTCTCCTTGAATTTTCCACTTGCGCATAAATATGGATAATCTTGAATATATATTGCAGGAAATAATATGACATGAGGAATAAGAAAATGGATGTGGATTTTTCAAATTTAGTCTCAAACTTTTGAACCCCTTCATTTGAGTTACATGTAGATTGAATATGTACACAAATTTGAGTTACAAGTAGATTGATATGTTTACATACGTTTGTTTATATATATATATATATATATACATATATATATATACTCTCTCTCTCTCTCTTTTTCTCTTGTTTGCTTTGTCTTTCACTGTATCGCGTAAGTGGCCGGTTCATTGCCACTTTGATAGCTTAAGAACAATCATGCAGCTGAGTTATTAAGAATTGAGATGTCTGTTTCCGTTCTGAAACCCCATGTCGTCCATTTGAGACAAATATGCCATTGCATATTACGAATTCTGATCTGAACTTCCTCTTGTATCTTCATCAAACACCAACCAACCGTTAAAATTTACGGATCTTCGATATTGATTCCAACTATATCTGAGTATTGTCGTTCAATGAAATAGAAGTTCAATTTGTCTTGCTCGAACACCTGAGTGAGAGTACGAACTATAATCCAAACAAATTGCATATGGGAGGGATCTGGGTATGCTTCAAAGCATGTAATACCCTTCTAGTGGCATGGATCAAAGATATTGTGAAGAGCACTTTCTCCATTTGGAACGGTCTACACAACAATTTGGCCAGCCTCGGTCATAAACCCCTGTGTCTCTGAGGGGTTTATGTCAAGCTTAAATTTGAGATCTTTCGCCAGCTTCATCCAGCTGGTTGATTCTGAAAGCATCGACTTATCCTACAAACATGTCCTACAACCAGAATTTTCAACGATATCGATGATGATTATGTAATGGCATAGCAACGTCGAATTACACGTCAGTAAGCCTGTCTTATGACAGATCAAATATAGAATTAATCTCAACAATAGATCATTATATACACAAATCCTTTTCAAATTGAAAAATCAAAAAAAGAGTTCAAATAAAAATGCAAAGTTTCCTAACTAAGTATGCTATTATTGATAATTTCATATAATATTTTATTCGAGAAAAAACAGGAACGTAAATAAACAATGCAATCCAAAGTTTAAAACTATTTGCATCTATGTGATTTCTTAAGAGAAGATTATCTTCGAATATCAAATACATGGTAATCATTTGTATATCTCTTTTCTTACAAGCACTATTGTCAATAATCAAGCTTTGATCTTTTTACAAGTCTAATACCTTGCGGCTAATTCCTGCCTAGTGATAGGTCCCTTCAACCCACGCCAAGACCAAGAACTTTCATTCCTTATTAGAACTTATACTTATGATGAACCTTCACATCAACTAGTTTCAAGAAATTATATTCCATGTGTATAATATTTAAAAATTTGATGTAAGTGTAAGATTTTTTCATCCAATACAATTTTTCTGATCTTTAGAAACATGTATGCACAAACTAGCTCAATATCTTGATACAACATCTACAAAGTACAAGCAAACATGTTTCTTGGTTGATAAAAATATAAAAGTCATAAAGTCTTCTCAAATGGCTAACACAACTGCAAACTAAAACTTATGATTATTGAAAACAAACTCTAATATCATATGTTTTTACTTTCATAATAGTTTCAAATCTCACAAACTTTTATGAAATTTTTGATAGCACAAATATGCTTGACATACTTCACGTAAATGAAAAAATCACATGATAGTCAAATATTTTTTTGGCATCCATAATTTAATTCAAATATATAATAGATATATTTGAATAGATTAGTCTATTATAGATTTCATTTTGAAATTTGATTTCTTAGCATCAAAAGCATTTAAAGCAATATAAATTATTAATGTCACTATTTCAATTTGATAAAGTGCATCAATAAATTTGTAGAAATAAAAACTAATAATACAAATATGATATTAACAGTACTTTAAGCATATAATCTTAAATTTCATTTTTATCTTGTCAAACATAAAAAAAACATATAAATTGATTAAAATTTTTTCCAAATTTGTACAAAATTCATCATATCTGAAATATATATTTTCAATCATAGACATATATTGATAAAAACAAAAAACAAGAAAATGAAAAATCTAAAACGTTGATTATTAGAATTTTATTAAAAGATAATCAAGATTTAATTATTTAGATTCAAATATATTAATTTTTGAAATTTTCCTTATAAATTAAAAAAATTAAAATATAATACAATTTATTTTAGAATAAAATTATAAAAACTCTCTCAATTATTTTTATTCATGATAATTAATAATTCTAAAAAAATTTTTTAAGAATAAAAAATTTCAATATTATTTTTGAAAATTTACGTATCAATAAAAATATACTTTTAAAATATAATAAAATTTATTTTTTAATAAAATTCATAAAAAATATTTCAATTATTTTAAGTAATTTTAATCAATAATTCTAAATATTATTCAAAAAATGAAAATTTTCCAAATGATATTTGAAAATTTTCTTGTTTATAAAAAATAATTGAAAATACAATTCACTTTAGAATAAAATTCATAAAAAAACTTTCGATTATTTTTATTTATGATAATTCATAACTATAAATATTATTTGAAAAATGAAAATTTTCAGAATTATAAAGTTAATTAATAAATTTAAGGATTAAAATTTCATTGATGATTGTACATGCTTGTACCATGCCATGTTGTTTGTATGATGTTGGTATATCTCGTACCTTTATGGTGGTGCATTCAATGTACTTTATGCAACAGTAGCTTCTTGTTAACTACGCACCCGTTTAAGTGCGCATCTCGGAAAACTACACAATCTTGAAAAAGACACGGATCAACTTTATTTAGTTTAACATGTCATGAATGATAATTTGACGCAAATTCTGAACTCCCTTGCATTTCGCTTTTCAAAGTTACAGCACAAACTTTGCTACGAAATGCTTCAAATAACTTTTTAATTTTATCAAATTGTTTGTTTGATTCTACCCAAACTTTCTCACAAAGCAACTAATCTTTTATTTCAACAACTTGCTTATGAAGTGATTCAAATCATTTGAATGCAACACTGTTTACTAAATTCAAATCTGAATCTTGTAAATTATCATCAATTCTATCATCCAGATTTTTTTCCGCAATCTTCTTAATCTCCAAAAGTTCATCAAACTCGTTCAAAATTTCAGCAGTAACTACTCACTGTTCTCATCATCGACGTGAATGATTTCTTCAATCTCTGATTTCTTCAATCTCTGACGTAACATCTTTTGTAGCCCTTTGCGCTTTCTAAATTTACTTAATCATTGTCAAGATGTCTTGAAATCACTGTTAGACATTGATAAACTTGATGCGATATTACTAGCTTTGGCAATGGCAAAAGTCGGGGAAGTAAGGAGATATGCACGACGCATGTTGTCGATCCATCCATATATATATATATATATATATATATATAAAATTTCAAGCTCAAGAAAATGACCAACATAGGATGAAAAAATCTTCTCTTTAGCTTGATCACACATGAAAGCAGATCGTTGCAGAATTTTGTCTCGTTTGCTCCACACATGTCTGATTGCTTCCTTACTTACATCGGATACATGCGCCAATGATCTTTTACCTAGAGCATCTTTACTCCTCAACTTCTTGATAATTTCGCATCATTGTAACTCATTGAGTCGTTTAACGATCAATTTGTTTGACATTGCACCTAATATTAACCAACTCCATCAAATTTGATTGTCAAAGACAAGAGCTCGTTATGAACTCTCGAAACGATGAATACGACTGTGAAAAAATTTACTAAAATAGTTTACTTGTGTTCGCTGAATGAACTTCACTGCGTCGAACTAACTTGTCATCGTAACCATGCAACGAGAAAACAATGAAATTGACAATCCCTTAACAACCGAATCACCAAGCTTTATAAGTCAAAATTAAACCAAATAGTATGCAGTAGCAATGAGACACAAAGGTATCCATAAAAACACATTTGATTTGTTCCTTAAAAAAATTATTTAGTCGCAAAAATAACTGCTTGACTTTAGTTCGCCATTTATTTCGGTGGAAAACATATCTCATGTTTAGCTTACTAACATGTCTACTTAGTAGGCCAAAGTATCTGATTTTCGTTTATTACAACTCTTTAGGAGTGAAAAGTACTTGTTTGTCCTTACCTAAATCTATTAACTACGCACCTACCGAGTAAGTACGCAAAATCCTCCAAGGATCAATTTGCGTACTTAACCAAGAGATTATTGTTTTAGAGCCTCGCGTTTTGGACTTATACTCCTTGCCCAGCTGTGGTTAGTTGGATTGATGAAGAGGTTACATCAAGTAACTAAGGCCACTGCCACATGACCGGCAGCGGTCACTAAGCTTCTAGCTAGAAGATAACTTGGTTTTCGTAGGCCTTAGTTGTCCAGCTAGAGATAATCATGTAACGTCTACCACAAAATCCATAGTATCTTTGGAGTGAAAAGTAGCTGACAACATGTATCCAGTCTATCGACAGAAAGAGGGAAATTAATGGTGTCAGGAGAGATGTCTTTGTTGAATTGCAATGCAGTGAGAACTAGTTCCTGGAGGATTACCGTGAGAAGGCACAAAAATACTTATGGAGTCAATCGATCCTGGAAAAACAAAATTTCCAGGCGGAAGTGTTTGGTACTTCGCAACAACCAATTTCTTTGTCACCTAGGATATCTTAAATTGCCGCTTCCTTTCGTGTGATAAAGGGGAAAGCTGGCATGCCAATGACCGACGAGGATTCATTGCCGCTGCCAATAGTGTGGTTTGGCCCTAATTTGCGGATCATGCATGCTGATAGCAATTCATCTTCGATGTCTCAGCAATATACTGTGTGGAAATCGCAACACATTGTCATGGATGTTGCGTGCTTTAGCGCTGCATGAATTTTGCTTCTGGATCTCAGCAATAGTGTTTGATGATTGAAATTGTTGTCAACGCACTTGACTTGTCTGAGAATTCCTTTGGCTAAGCTGGAAGTTCGTGAAAGCGAGTTTTTTTTTAAATACTTCATATCGTCTTCACCACTACAAATTTTTTTGCCGTTACACAGCTTTCTATTGAACATAGGCGATGGAATGAAAAGTTTGTGCCTAGTTTGCAAAAGATAAGAAGAGTAGTCCTTTTGATAAGCACACTTGCTGTCGTATTTCGCGGTGAACTAAGTTATAAAGTTAATTAAATTTACCTTAAATATTAAGAATTTAAAGAAAAAAAATAATATATAGATGGTATAAAACAATCTTTCAGTTTATTTCATTTTTTGAAAATTTTTTATATATTATTTCAATAGAAATTTTAAATTTTTTCACTTCAATTTATTAAAATAAAAAATAAAAAACAAAAATATGATTCAAAAAATGATTTAGATTAGTTAATATAACTTCTTATTAATGTTTTAAACAAAAATCATCTTCAATATATGTAACGTTATTTATACATTTGCTTGAAAGATCTTGGATAAATTTATTTTTATCATTTATAAAATAAAAATATTCGAAAAAACTCAATAAAAATGATACAAAATCAACTAAAAATCTTAGATTTTGATGCCAAAATTTGGAGTTGAAGAAATTTTTGAAATAATTGAGTCCGCGGTTCGTTTTGTTATGGCAAAGCAAAAAACAAGACAGATTTGTGAATCCAATCATGTGAATTAAAAACTTAATTTTAAATATTTTAATTATTTAAGTACTTATTTTATTCAAATTTGATTTTCTAAGTATATATAAATATATGTACATATATTTATTAATAAAATATTATAATAAAAATTCAAAATTGTGTGATTCAAAAAAAAAGAAAATTACTATTAATATACTAATCATGATCATGTAATATGTCAGAGTTAATATATATTTTTTAATCAATTTAGTATAACATAAACATGAATTTCAATCTTAAATAACTTTAAGGTTTTCAAAATTATGAAGGATAATTTCCTGTTCAAATCATGATTATGTAGATATATATAATATCTTATTAATATTTTTTTCAAAATATTAATAAGAAATATGAAAATATTTTATAAATCAAAAATTGGAATTTTAAATTATTTTTTATTGTATTAAATTGGTTGAATTTTATATCAACTTTGATCAATTTACATTTTTCCCAATTCCAACCAATTTTCTATTTTTGCAAAGAAATTCTGTATCAAACAAATTGTTTTTCAAATTTTTATAACAAAAAAATTTATATTATATTATGTAATTTTATCTTTTAATACTTGGGTTAAGTTTGGCTCACAGTAAAGATAATATCATCAACATGTGTTCAAGGTAAAATGTAATATTTTAAGAAATCTATAATAATAATTTCTTAAAGGATGTAACTTTGAATAGATCATGAACTTCTAAAATCATCATATTTTAGAACTCAATTATCTATTTTTATATTTTTTGACCTCGACTAAAGCTCCAGATACAAATAAAATGATTATCAGATCTATGCTTAAGCAAATTGAATCACAAGTTACACTCTACTGCAATAATTGCAGGATAATATTTTTTTACTTAATTTTAATCCAAGAAATCAAAAATGAATTTGAAGTAAAGTACAGAAGAAAAATATATCTAGATTTTGGATACGTTAAAAACCTCAAAGAAATCATAATATGGAGATTAAGATGTATTCTAAATTCAAATCTGAAAACAACCTGCTATTTGTTTTAAATTAATTGATTATAACGGGTTTAATATGAATATGAGGTATCTCTACAATAATTTGCTCACAATCTGTATGAGCGGACGCTAAAGTACTGTGTTAGTGGAGCTGAAATGTCCTCATACCAAGTCCTTGCTTATTTTGAGATAAATCAATTAATAATAAAGTTCATGTATTTATTTCAATATCTCTATTTCAATCATTTTAGTCTAAGCCGCATAGATTGCTATTTGCCAAAATAATATTTTTGAACAGCTTTCATGAATTGTGGTTGCAGCATTCCTCATGAAAAGATAGTCCTTGAGGAAAAAAAATAAGACTTGTAAGTAAATTTTAATCAAATTAGAAAATTTCAGAAAGCGTGTAGTGCAAAAAGTGATTTATGAGATGTTTGGTGTTGCATATGTTGATGCATGTAGAACAACTTGAGCTACTTATTAGCGAATTTCCAGAATATTGGAATCCTTTGTTATATATAACAAAAGAATTAAATTTTCAATTTAACTTCGTTTGATATAAAGTTTCAGGCAAAAAAAATCCACAATATTCATCAAAACAACTCGTGACTACATTCCAATTATCTCACCAATACGATCAAACATATGATCTGACATGACAAACTTAAAACAACATAAGCTGAAGATGATACCGTTTTTCGATCCACTTCGAAGGAATGAATCAATTTGGTTCTACGCTTCATCAGGTTTTGGAGGATAATCGTACCCATTAACCTATTGGAGTATAATGCCGACAAGTTTACAATTTCCTTGGTTTACCCTCTCTTACGTGTATATTTAGCTTCCCTTATGTCGAAGATGTAGAGAGGATGAGATCTTATTTCAGGGGTACTTTTATTTGAAAGTCTATTAAAGTTCAGGTTTGAAATGAATTGCTAAGACTTTTAGTAAAAGTCGATTGAGTTATAAGAGCGAGTTTTCTATCTCATGCCCAAAGATATCGAGTAGCTTGAAAATCTTTCGCACAATGAACTGTTCTAAGAAAATAGAAAAAAAAACCACGCTGATTAATTCTCTGTTTTCCATTGTGGTGAAATGTTACTTCAGTCGATTACTGCAAAATATCATAAAATATGAAAAGGTATACCGTTTCAAATAACGAAATCCTAACGTAAACTTTAATTCTCGGGTAGTCTCTTTCTATCTTAGGTCTCAATACATCTAAAACGGAAACGTGAAATGTAAACCACTAATGCTTAACCTAATCAAACGTGAAAACATAACGAACAAGTAAAATGAGATAAACAAGAAAAGGCAACCCTAAATTAGAGACTGCTGCCAGATTTGATCAAAGAGTGGAAGAGGGAGAGAGAAGAAAAGAGGAGGAAGTGGCAAGCTGAGGTGCTGATTTAATGAAGAAAAGAGTAAACAATGTTGACATATTTCACCAGCCTTGCCTTGCCTTGCCAGACAACAGAGCAGTTTACCAGCCCAGCACAGGAGTTGAATGAGAGGAGGGGCTTTGGTGCTTTGTCGTCTTGATTGTGCTCTGGGTGTCATGATCCTTGCTTCATTCCGGTTCGGATGGGTTGATGTGATTCCAGGGTGAGAGTGTGAGTTGCGTGCATGAGAGGAATTTGGGAATGTATGATGGAAGCAGGAATTTGTTGGGTTCATGAGGAGAGGCTCAGATAGGCTGAGATGCAGACTGGCTGTTTATGAGAGGCATGGATGAACAGCGGTTGCTCAAGCCAGGCATGCAATTGTGAGGCAGGGAGGGACAATGCAGAATTTTTGAGGGGGTCGATTCTTTGAATTGGTTTCTGGGGCAGGACAGGGCACGGTTTGTGTTGTGGTGTGTTTGTAGTGAGGCAGGATGAATGCAGAAATTTGCAGGTTTTGGGAGTGGGCCCAGGCTCAGGGATGTAGCATGGCAGACCTGAGAGTGGAAGGCAGATCATTTTTCACTCGTGAAATTCTCCCAGCTGGTAGTACAGTGTTCACGGTTCCTTTCTCCATTCTGGTATACACTCGCACTTTGGCTAATTGCAGAGTTCTGTGGTAGTGAGCAGTGTCTGCCAAACGGGGTCGAGATTTTATGGTTCATAAATCATGTCTCCGCATGTGGAATTTTGGTTGTTATAAACTTATAGAAGATGTGCACAGTGCAAGTTGTAGGTGGACTTGAGTTTCTTGTGTATTCTTGAAGTGAAAACTCGTTCTTTCCAGTCTCCATCATTAAGACGAAAGATCATGTTTGGAAGGTTGGAGTTCGAATTTGCATTAGACTTTGTGACAGGAACAAGTTGGACATTCTAGACTCTATGTTGACGTCGACTTGTCTAGTCATCAAGACTAATATTTCCATCTTGTGGAAGGTATCGTGCTCAAATTGCTTGTTTTGAAATGTGTACCCAGATGCACATGGATGCTGCATTTGATGACAAGACATTCGGTGAGGTTTACAAAAAACTTTCTGCGGCTGGTGCCTCCGAACGAATTGTGTGAGTGTGAGATCGCTTGCGTCCTGTTTATTGTCAGACGATACGCGATGGTCGGGCTGTGGGTGCTGCTGTCGAAATTGACTGTGAATTTCATGATTTCTCTTCGTTTTTCTTTCACGTGGCTTCGAATCGCTGATTTGGTAGAATGGAGACAAGCTTCGAAAGTTTTGGTCTGAGCACTGTTCCTTCTCAAACCCTCCAGCTTTGACTTGTTATACTAGTACGTTTTCCTGATTCAGCCTGACTGTTTCCTGCACGGCGAAATCGAAATTCAACGTTAGGGACGCATGTGTACCGAGCAGTACTTCCATAGGGTTGGGGTTCGTTCCAGATGTTTTTGATGACAAAGACCTTATGATTTGTGATAAGCCGCATTGTGTTAGGTAGATGTGTCGAAGAAATGCATGGTTTGGTTCGAGACAAGTGTGACGATCGTTACATATGACCCGAGAATGATGTCTTACACTCCAATCGATCTCCCTCTTTGCGATGACAGCTATGAGTGAGTTCCATTTTGATCAAAATATGGAATCAGTTCATGCCAGCGTTTGTATGCTTTGTAAGCTTCAGTTCGTCTTCGATGCGAACGTATGTGATTCTGTACTCTTTTCCCCTGTTCCATAATTTCTTGTGTTGTGTTTTTTATGGCATTTTTCACTATGATTAATTCCTGTGTGAAAGCGGGCTGGACCTTCTCGTCCCTTTTCAGTGACCTTCTCGTCCTCAATCTATGAGAAGCCACATGTACTTAGACCCGATCCTCCTGTCCAGAAACCAGCAATGTTAGTGCATTTACTGCACTTAGCACGTTGTAAGAAGATTGTGTACATAGGAACCTGTATAATGAGTAACGAACATTCGTCTTCGCACACTGTATTTATAATTGATTATCAATCTTGTATATGGCTGTAGACTTACCTTCATTGTTTCGCTACATTCCCGCTGACCATATTACATCTGATGCATTTACGAACCACATGTAAGATGCATGATCGCTGTAATGATGACCTCGGTAGTTAGAAGGGACGTTTTGCTTCCTGAGGTCATAAGCTATTTCCAGATTCTTGGTGGTTACAGCAGTTTGCTTGTGAGCCAGCTTCTTATCTTAGATGCTGTGGTCAGTTTTATATCCCTTTTCTAAATATTGTAAAACTAAACATCGGTTTTATATGGAAATGGCTTTGTCAAGAAAGTTCTTACTAAAATTGATGTACTCAAATTTGTTTAAGCACTCTGACAGTTTGTTTACAAACATTGATCCAGTTTTCGATCGAAATTGGTTTGTTGTTGGCTAATCTACCCACTAATATTGAGTCTTACACTTGCAGATTGACACTATTCGTTGCTGTCGAGAAGGCGAAGGGAGAGAATTCGTTTTGGTTCACTTACCTGTCTTCCTTACCACAAACCTTCAGTACTCCATTGTGGTTCAAGTAAGTATTCTCCCTCATTAGCTCTGTCAGTGAACAGTCGAATCTTCCTCGTGTGTGCTGATTTTGTGGAGGAAATGTTCTTTCTCGGCACCATCTGATGCAATTTGGTCGAACTGTTTCCAGTGAGAAAGAACTTGATATCATCCGGGGTACAAAAGTTGCGGCTTCTCTAAGTAAAGACCGTGCTGCATTCAACCAGCTGGTGAATTTTTGGGCACCAAGCTTGCATAGTACGCTGACAAGCAGAGATGAAAGTACGAATGACTCAATAGGTGATTCTTATTTATCCTTCTAAGATTGTTTGTTTGTTGCAGGGCATTATCAATCTCTTTTCTGGACGATCTAGGAACGGAGCATGATGTCATTAGGTTGCATGATGGAGGAGTCTTGCATACTTTACGTTTTGTTTGCATTCAAACTGTTGTTTGGTTGTGGAATTATTAACTAGACGTTGACAAGAATATGAATTTTGTGCGTAACTAGAGTGCCCAAACCCATGTAGTATTTAACAGCTGATTTACTAATATGCAGCATGAATATATTGACATACAAGTGTTTCTTTGTTAAAAGTCGTGATATCAAAATCTTCTCACTTAATTGTCAAATATTTGAACATGCAAGAAGGTTAGACAAGTGTTTTGATGTTTAGAAGATGATTTCTTCCTCGACTATTCAAAGTTTCTTTACCTACTTATATCTTCTATGCTGCTGGTACTCAAAAAAAGGGCAAATATTTTCTCACGACGATCTTCTTCAGTTACGAACCTCAGCTCTTCTATATTTCTAATAATTATCATCTAATATGGAGAGTGTCGTCATTTCACAGCCACATTATTGCGAACAGCTACACAGGAGTCATCATTGTTATGGGCTCGCACTGTTGTTCTTTCACGAGGATTCACTCTGTTACTTGAGGGGAAGCACGAAGTCACATTAGTACCTCTTTTTGACCTTCTTGATCATTCTCCATCGGCACGGTTTGTACTTTATATTCAACGTGCACAACCTGCAATAAGTAGCCTGAAGAACTTGTCATCAGATTGGTCTGCACAACCAGCACTGTCTAAGAGGATATGTACAGTCCACCATGCACTGAGAGTTCACTATCACTAATGAGCAGAAATGTGAAGCTGAATTTAGGCTTGTGCAATTGGATATGAGCTACACATATTCATTTGCCTGGAATCTTTGCAGTGTTGAATGGATTACCGATGATGCGAAAAGGGAGGCCAAGTTCATCAGTGCTTCTGAGCTTCAAGGAGGTGTTGAGGTTTATAACAATTATGGCCAAAAAGTAGAACCTCCGTACTCCTATACCGTATTTGTGTGTCACATATTGCTGTTTTAATACATTTCCATGAGATGTGTCTGATTCTGAACTTCGATTATTTTTTGGAAATTATGAATCAGATGAGATGTTTATTGTGTGTCTGAGAGTTTGTTAAGAGGTTCTCTATTGATAATGATACTAACACAGGTTCTTCTACGATGTCTGTAGGCGAATGACGAGCTGCTGCAAGGTTATGGCTTTTGTTTGTGCCCGAATCCCGCTGATGTCTACTATATTCGCATTGGAATATCTCCGTTACAGGAAAGACCTGCTAATTGTGCTACCTCACCAGAAGATGATGAAAAAGCTTCTCGTGGGGACAGACAGGAGCTAATGTGGAGAATGGGCACATCAGCTGAATTTGCCCTAAGTCTTAAGCAACCGCTTCCAGACGCTCTTTTACAAACTGCACGAATTTGCCTGCTCTCAGATTCCGAAGCGTATTCTGCTTTTGGCATAGGCTGGAATGCTGACATGGGAGCTGCTGAATTGGAGGTGATATCCTCAATACTTAACAATATTCTTTATTGTAAAGTATGTCTGATCTCACTCGTCTTGAATTGGATGAATGTGTACTGAAGTCATTCTTTTGTCTGACCTTTGATAATGTAATTGGAATTCCAGATCTCAGCTACTGAGTTTCAATCGATTTCCAATTTGAGAGAACTCCTCCTGACATCCATAGCACAATTTTCCGGTGGACTGGACGTTGAGACAGATAGGAAGTTGCTGACACAAGACTGTCAGGCTGGTGACAGTTTCTGTCATTTGACAGAAAAGGAAAGGTTTGCGTTGATGTATAGACAAGGACAAAAGGTACAACCTTCCACACTATATTCATCATCCAGATTCTTTGGCTTTGTTGAATATATCAAATCACTGATTGTTCATCATTTTATCTCTTGAAGGCTTTTGATTATTAGATTGTGAGACTGTGTCACCTAGTGTAAGCTCTGAATTTTAATTTGGAAGTTCCTGAGAAGGCGCTATTCTCTATCTTTTTACCCTTTTTTGGCCCATCAGCATTGACTTCAAATAATAGTACTTATACATTACGATAAAATTCCCCGCGTGTGCAATATAAATTAGAAACTCGCCCAACAAGATCAAGAAAAAGCTACGACCCTCCCACTCTTGGATCCTGCAGGAGATTATACACTCGACTTTGCAAGCCCTTGGAGGTCGTGCAGCTTCTTCTCTGGATACATGGGTAATTAACTCAAGAAATGACATTTGTGTTATGTTCTAGTAATCTATGTGCAGATCGAACCTTAAGCTGTTGAAGGCATAGCAATGAAAATTAACTGTTGAGAGTCCTACTGCAATTGAGCATGTATTCAAACTTATAAGAGCATGGACTTAATAGACGTGAGTATATACTCGTTTGTTTTCGTGCTTTTTTTTCAGAAGTGCTTTTTTATTTTTTTAGGAAGCACTTTTTCATATATCCTAGACCGTTGTGGGAGTCTTTGTTTGGACTTTCATGTTCGCATCTTTACCCTTGTTTGCTGAGTTTTAAGATCAGGAAAATTTCAAGCAAGTAATAAAATTAGTTATGATATGGCAATATTTGAATAATAAATGCTAATTGTCTGTGGCTTTGAAATTATAACAGGCACAATGTCAGGGAACACCGGAGATAGTCATGCAGACGTCAGATGATACCCCCAACACCTACCAGAAGTGGTTGGACGACAGTGGTGTCACTTGCGATTTCATCATTGAAATTCTGACACGTGTCGGGGACCAACCATGTTTGCAATTGAAAAAGCAGTGTGCAACTGGTAATTATGCATGTTACGACGTGGAGATGCAAGAACTTAGGATTTATTTTACACTTCCATGTTCGTCAGATCTCATAGATCAAACCTTACGCAAATGTAATCGTAGTTTCCGGAGATCACACTCAGCTAGGCTAAATGATTTGGTGTATCTCGAAACCAGGAAACAGAAGTTATCCCTCTCTCTTGCAATCAAAATTGTTGGTAACCAGCTATAGAGAGAGCGAGAGCCTTTATCTCCTGATGTAGTTTTGCTTCATTTCCTCCTCGATTTTCATCTTCCTCTTGTACTCTCATGTCGTCACTAGACCGTCAAGCCAGAGCGCGGAACCGTGGCTCGTCTCGCTTTTACTAGGTCTGAACTACAAATTACTTTAAATTCAAAAAGTAAGGATTTATTCAATATCAAGAACGTAAATTGGAAACTGAACCTCTTGTAAATTACGTCTAGTACCAAACCTAGTTGCAAATTTTGACTGACTTCTGAGATACGGATTTGTCGACGCAGGTGACATATTAGCATCTGTGCCGTCCCATTTACTCTTTGTTTCGGATTGTGCCACCAGTAATGGTCAACAACTGCCACATCCATTAACGGATTTGGTATGAGTATCTTTCTACATTACCTCTACCACACCATTCAGCAGTATCGTTCTTGTCACCGAGGAACATTAGGTTAACATGGAGGATACTCTAAATATCGATGACGGAAATTTGTGTATGGCCTGTTATATGCAGCAATCTCACTGGTGGTTTACGATATGGATGCAGGTGAAGAACTTGGAGGATAGGTCTGCGCTCAAGCTCTTACTCTTGTTTGAATTTGGAAGAGGAAACGATTCTTTGTGGGCTCCATACATCAAGCGTTTAGCCGATCATATCGACACTCGGGTTGGATCTCCTATACATCATCATATTCTTGATCTTAAATGGTTGTCTTGAGATAGAGGTTCACTGCAAATATTTCAGTCAACCTTTCATCATCCAGCTTTTACTTACATCCTCTATCTCGGTCCCCCCTTCAGTATCACACTACGTCATCTTCGTAATTAACAAAAACCGCAATTGTGTCACAGTCAATCAACGGGTTGAAAGAATCCATGGTTCTAGGTTCGGTGAAGGTGTCACTTTCTTCAGTAGAGGATAGGGCTGCTCGGAAGATATGTTGTTTAATTTTTTGAGTACTTGATTGGTTGTTGTTGAGATCTCAAATGCTGCGTAATTTTCTCATTCTCATTTCTCATTTTTCATCTTTTAAGCACTGCAGGACTACTACAAGGATGATATGCTGGAATTACTTGAAGGCACGAACCTCATGCAGGAACTCAATGATCGTATTCAACATTTGCAACATGAAGTATGTCTCCAATACTGCCCCCGTGTAGAGTACTTCATCATGTTGGGTTCAGCCGACAAGTCGTGACTTCGAACTGCCTCTGATTTTGTGATTTTCTTCGTCTTTTTCCAGTTTGGTATGGTTCTGAAGCTTCTTCAAGACGAGCATCTTCAGCAAGTTTCCAGTCAGGTCTCAAATTACATCACTACGAACTTAGCAAGCTTAACGGTACTTTCAATTTAAAATTGGGAGTAGTACGTAATATGTAGATTGCACATTTTTGTTTTCATGGAAACGACTGACGACGATGGGGCGTATTTACAACATTACAGACCTTCACACTGGAACGCTGGCTCTGGGCAGATTCTGTGGTGGAAAGATGTGCTCTTCTTGTTCATTCTGAGGAAATGTACCAATCTTCCCGAGAACCTCACAGAAGATTAGTACTGGCACCTGTACTAAGCTCCTTGCCTTCTGCTCTTAACGGGGCAGTTGTGGAATGTGTCATGGAAAGTAAATCCTGTGCTCTTGTCATACGAGCACTCTCCACTATGAGGGTATGTACTCATGCACAGTAGACTTGTGTACGGAACACATTTGACTCCTTGACCTCGGACATCTTGGAACGAGCAACTTATGGAACCACTTGTGTCACTTCATTTTGCAGGCTGGTTCACTACTCTGTATCCCACAAAGTGGCCTCGACAATGAGTCACGAATTCTACAGGTAATGTTTCTACCTTTTCTCTTTTATGAAACACTCTGATCCTGTCATTTTGCCTTTACTTACTAACATCGCGTTGATGTGAGCAGTTTGTAACAGAAACGGTTGTCCTGGACAACGAGCATGATTTCGTGGAGATCGTCTTAGGATCGAGTCCAGAGGATCCTTACAGTGGTGAGTGTGACTTTGACCTAATTACTTGTAGGTTGTGGCCTCACAAAAGTTACCCTCTGACACTTTCGTGACTTGTGTAATGCAGACTTGAAAGAAAAGTTGTCAATGGCATCGGGGTTGGGCCCCATACAGTATCTGAAGAGAAGTCCTAAATCCACTCTGGCTCTTGCATCTATCGCCCTGCATTCTTTAGACAGCGACGAGGACTTTGATAAGTGTGGTGCATTTGACTTGCTGGTGATAGCCCTCATTCCTTCCTGTTTTTCTTACATGATTGTTACTATAATTCAACAATCCCAAGTGCAATCTTCATAGGAGTTGTTTTAGCTGTGTATGCCTGTAACTAACTGAATTTCGTTCTACTGCTGTCGATGACTTATCAACGATTGCGTGCAGAAACTAGTCAGTGAAGCAAAATCCGCAGCATCTCGTGGAGAAGAGAGCTGGTGTGCACCAACAGGAGAGGATGTGGGCTCTTACGAACATTTTGACAAGTATCGGCAACAGGCCAAGGGTGCACATTCTGCTGCAGCCTCAGCAGCTGAGCAGTTTGTGCGCACTTTACAATCGCCTTCCAGGTAATGCATAGTTCAATTTTCAGCTCAATTTTCAGTTGCATATCAATATCAGTGAGTAGAACAGTTTCCTCGGTCTCCGAATGTTTAGTTTCTTCAGTCGCCTTACACTCGCGCCTGGCGGGAGAGATCTTGTCATTGAAAATCTTGACAGTACCGTGGGAATTAGGGATTAGGGTATCGAGTAGTCGACTGTGGAAACTTGTGGTGGGTTCTTGAGAACGTGCGTACTTTGGCTCTTATCCAAACCCCTAGTACATGCAGAGATTCACTGTTTCAAGTTGCGGACATTGTCCTCGACGTTTGAGGCCGGTTTTCTGTTGTACATTGAGTTTGTGAGAAGTCTAGATCTGCACATGGTTGAGCTTTTTTCTCTTCCGATTGACATGGAGAAGGAAGGATCTTTGAGCTCGAAACTTCATCCTCTGGTTCCAATGTTGCGAATGAACGGAGTGATGGTACTCTGAAGCTCAGGGAATCAGTCTTGGGAACTGACGAGTCATTTTCAAGACATTGTAATGAGCTGGCGAACCTTGAAGCTGAAAGATCCTCACGGTTTCATGGTCGATTGGATGAGAGTTAGGAGATTCAGGCGTTCGGGAATTAGGCATTGCCTACATCGTCCTATTTTTTTTTCCCTGAAGGTTCATGGTTAACTGTGTACATGTACTGTTATGTTATGTACTGTACACAGTACATGTACTGTGTACATGTACGTATCTTTCAGTTTCAGAGATAGAAATTCAGGTATCTTTCAGTTTCAGAGATAGAAATTCAGGTCTCGTTGATTTTCCGCGGAACCTCTTTACCTCCGAGGGCCCTTCGATGTTTAGGTACTTTCCTGAATGCCATAGAGTTTAGAACTCGTGACACGAAGTCTGTGAAGGAAGGCCTTCACAACCAGCTACGACTGTTGAGTGAAACAGGTCCCAGCCATGGACCTTCTGTCTCCTCCTCCTGTTAGAGTTGTCGCACGGAAGAGGAAGAGTTTCTCAACAAGAGCTGAGGAAGTCCTCAAAGAAAGACCTTCGCTTGAACGTTCGCCTGTAATTCCTAAGGTTTGCTTAGGGTACTGAGCAAGCGGGACCTCCTCCCTTCTCGTCTGCTCTTGTTAGGAAGAGTTCTTGGATGCATCCCTTCTTGCACAGACAGAAGTGAGGGAGCCGTCGGAGAGCCTAGTGAGGAGCAAAGTTTGAACTTCGATGAGATTCCGGGAGAGCGGATTGTAAGCACCTAATGTGGCTGATGTGCCGATTTTCAGAACTCGTCGGGCAGCCTCGACATTCAGGAAGCTGCTTCAGAGCGTGCTTTCAAGCATAGCCGGAAGCTCTGCAGATGATGACCGACAACTGTACGCAAGAAGCGGAGATGCAGTGTGTTCCTATCGCGCGATGCTGGCTTATCGTCACGGTCAGAAAGAGATTCTGGAGATCTGGGTACGACACCTCAAACAAGTTCTCAAGGAGCAGACCAAGGCCGCCAGTACGAAGAGAATGAGATTATAATGTCAACATAGTGTTATTATATGTATCAGCGCACTAACATGAAATCAACATGCATCATACATGCCTGTCACCAACATGCATCATACTATTCCTCCACAATCTCAAACAACATCGTGACATCAACATAATCTCCTTGCGACAGATGAAGTTATTCTAAACAAGAATTTCATCTATTCTCCTCCAAATAGAGTTTAACAATCTGCATATCGTTTTTACACCGATGTAAGTAATATGTAGAAATTTTTAATTAAATGTATGTGTCGATGTCACAAAAGGATGCGATTAGCAAAATGGGTTCAAGGGTGAAAAGGTGGAGATTAAGATGGGTACGGTCTGTAATGCAAAATTCAGCAGATATTGAAGGTGAATATCGTTATAAGATTCTCACCATTACAAACCTTCCTCAAAAGAGTGCTGCGTGAGTTGAAAAGTTTCCTACTATACTAGCACTGACGGCCTTAATCCATCTGCGTGGTTAATTCCATGTACACCTATCTACCTCGAGATCTATTCCACCTACAGATCTCAGATTTAACACCTGTCTAATCTCTGTCTCCTCATTTAAAAACGCAAGGGGGAGGGGAAGTTCAGGTCCAGTTGTCCACCAAATTCTTCCCATGTACAGTTAAGTTCCCATGTACAACCGCTCAATCTTTCTTTGATGTTTTATTTATGAGCGATTTGTGAATATGAGGGATAACACCTCCCCCGGCAATTGTACCCTTTATGAGGGTGTCCAATTCCTCATCTCCTCGAATTGCCAATTGCAGATGCCGGGGAGTGATTCGCTTCACCTTCAGATCTTTGCTGGCATTGCCAGCTAGCTCCAACACCTCTGCAGTCAAATACTCCAAAATTGCTGCAGAGTAAACTGCTGCAGTAGCACCAACTCGCCCATTGGCGGCCACTCTAGACTTCAAAAGCCGATGAATACGTCCGACCGGGAACTGCAGAATCAGTGAGCACAAGTTAGGTCAAACATCCCAGTTCCTTTGCACTGAAAGGTCCATGGCAGGCAGACGGTTATCCGATGTCACCAAGCCCTGGTTCTTGACATCAAAATTCCAACAGAGGGATCATCCTCAGCAAGCAAGAGTCGTGTCAGCAACGACAGAAAATTTTGAACAGACCCATGAGAATATGTATCAACGAGATTCAAGATTAACAAGCATCTACGAAAGTTGCAGTGGGATAAAACCGTTGAGACATTAAAACATCGCACTTCTACCGAGACCCACATTCACTCCAAAGCACATCGGTCGTAGACTAGTGGAAAAGAATCCATGAGATGAAATTGACTGTCACCCACGACTAACAGTTATTAGACAATAAAAGTGATCATTTTCATAATTAACGAAAGTCGTTCAAATCTGTACATGTCAACTACTACGAAGCTTGCCCATTTACATTTACTTCTTGATGTGGGCTCCTTGCCATCCAAGCTAAAGTCTACACCTTTTTGCGAGGAGATATTTAAATCTTTCTTTTTTTTCCCAATATTCAATTGCTACGACATAGTGTCAACCAACCTATGGCCGCTTCCTCGCCTCCCAGCTCCTCGAGGAAGTGAGGAGCTGAGGAACACACAATTCGAACACAAACTTGCACCGAAAGAAGCACGGCCGGAACCAGACAGCAAATTGGACGGCTCAAATGTCCAGCTCAAATGGCAGAGGCCATGAACTACCTAAGCTTGCAATACACGGGCAGGGCAAGCGATACGCACCGGAAAGCAGTTCAAAACATCGACCAAGACGGCCGGGATACACTCAAAATACAAGCAACATCGACGAAAGCACGAAGCGATGACCTAGAACCCCGAGAAACCCTGGCGGTTACTACTGAAACGACTGAGACTCGCTCGGGAGGGGCGGAGAGGCGATATACCTGCAGCCCGGCACGAGAAGACCTCGAAACAGGTTTCTTCTTGTCCTTCTTGTCACCCGCATCCTGAGCCTTGCCGAGCAGCAAGCCCTTAGCACCCTTACCCGACTGATTGCCTCCAACCACCATTTCGCCAACAGCAGCTGATCAACCAACAGTGGGCGGAGATTCGACGGGCCGCGACACCACCGACTTTCCGCACCAAGAAAAACTCCCTCGCACCTACAAACTGAACCAAGACGACGCGTGAGCGATTGTGTCGACGACCCCGACCACCAGATCTTCCTTTCTCACTAAACGCGAGACGCCGCCGCGACTACGACGACGGGCTAAGCAATCGGCAGACGGCAGAAACCTCGATAAAGAACCGGACAAACGAGTAAATACTCGCCGATTCGACAAACAATCTCGCGCTCTCTCTCTCTCCCTCCCTCTCTCCGCTCCTCGTCCTCTCTTTCCTGTCTTCCCTCGCTCGTCCTCTCTTTCGTGACTTCCCTCCCTCGCTCGGCTCCTCGTCCTCTCTTTCCTCTCTTTCCTCTCTCTCCAGACCGAAAAGTAAGATGCATACCCGCAGCGACGACGACGACGAGGGTTCGAGGGAAAGCAACGAACCAGAATCCCGCGCACAGAAGCGAAAGGTCTGGAGTTCTACGACGACAGGTGGCCCCCCACATAAGTCTGGATCCCCCATCGGACGGCGGCCCTCGCACGCCGATCGCCTCGCGCCGAGCCCGCCCGACCGGCCGACCGCTTCCATCCCTCTCCTGCGCCTTGCGTGAACGAGCGAGCCACCGGCAAGGATCGGTCGGACGCGGGAGGCCGCGTGTAGTGGATGCGGTCAGCCCACCGGCCGCATCGAGAGGGAAAACCTTCGCGACGCGACGCAGCGAGGGAGGGAGGAAAGAATGGAGGGAAAGTGGCCCGATGGACGACAAAATACCTCGAAATTCAAAACTATTTTCCTCGAGCACTAACGCGCGAAGTTTACGATCTCGCTTTTCTCATACGCTCTTCGTTCGTTCCGATTTCTTTCCCTTCCCTCCCTTCAACAAACTCATTGCTTCTTCCATATCAGGGTCTGGTTATCATTCTTTGTTAGATGAAAGATCATGTATCTGTTGGGCAAATTCCCTACAGATACATGATTTTGCATCTAACAAAGAATAATAACTATGAAACATTTATAATTAGATGTTTTATTTCTAATTTTGAGTACGGAGAAAACAACTCAATTTGAATTTATATAAATAATTTTTACTTTTCATAATTTACGTTTATCATCATTTTCTTTATTCTTTCAACATCTTGCACAAGTGCATGCAAGAGAATGATAAGTGCAAAAATATTGCAAAGTAGACCAATCTAACTGTAATGAATATATGTCATTGTAAAATGGATGATACTGATTTCAATTAACTGACAACTGTTTTTTTAAATGAGAATTGCTTCATTAGTTATTGAAAATGCATATTATGCAATCGCTTGTAACTTTTGACATAATGTTCATGTATTCTGCAAAAATCTACTTACTTTGAATTGTGATGATTTTAATCATAAAACAAGAAAAAATAAAAAAAATCAAATGATTAATGCAAACATGAAAAATACTTAATTATATCCAATCCAATATCAAAACATCAATTTTATAAAATAATATGTCCATTAAAAAATTAAATTTTATTATTAAATTGTTATTTATATAAATACTCTACTCGTATATAATCAATCAATTAAAATATTAATATCAAGCAACTTAAAACCAAATTCTTATATTAAAATATGTTGTCACAATACATTCAATAATTTTTTAATGAATAAATTTTCTTTGTATGTAAGATTTTATGTATTATTTTACATGATAACAGTTTATGATATAAAATTACTTTAAACAACTATTTAGAAAAAATTTAATTATTCAACAGACAAAAAATTGAAAATTTCATTGAAGCATTTATTAAAATATATAATAAAATACATTGAAAATTTCTTTTTCTTTTGTATTTTATCAAAAAAATACATCTCAATATGTATATAAATATGTATGTGTATATATATCCAAATCAGTTATAATTATTTCTTCATAAAATTTAGGAAAGCATATTTCTATTTTATTTTTGCTGCATGAAGTAATTAAATTAAATCTGTATCATTGGCTTTTAATTAATTTTATAATGATAAAAAACATTTTCAATTTAATTCCATGAATGAATTTATCATTATGTTGATAATTATTTTTTTATAGATATTGCAAAAATTACACAAAAATATATAAAAAATATTATATATACTCATTGATTTTTTATAAAATATGTATTCATCTCAAAAAGGAAAAATCATTTGAACAAAATGATACTGAAAGCAAGAATTTATGTAACTAATATTGTTACTAACATTTTTTTTAAATATCTCACAATAAAGATTAATTTATTTTTTGAGCTCATTTACACTAAATGAAAAAGTGAAAAATTTAAAATTCATGAGAAGATAGTAAATTGCCACATTGTTGATTGATGATAAAAAATATATATAATTTATAGTTTTCAAAATGCTAATGTTTGTGTTTTATAAAATATTGCAATTAATTTTCCAAGTTCAAAATTTAAAAATTCAATTCATTGTAGGATATATCAAACCTCAATTTGAAATGTGTAAAAAAATATTTAATTTTAATAAAAAATATAACAAATATATTTGATTTAAATTAATGTTATTATGAATCAAATTATATCTTATCTTAAAAATTTTGAGATATCATAAAAAATGAATTTTGCCATCAATCATGGACATAATCGTTTATAAACAAAGTCCAACAAAAATTAATTAAAAATTTTGAAAATATATTTATTTTCTAAAATGTGGTCATAAATTTTAAGACCACAATTTTATTTCATATTATATAGTTATAAAATCTAAATATTAAAAAAAAATTATCAAAAAACTAAACATAGTCAATGGTTGTATATAAAACATTGTAAAGTTAGTAATTATAATGTAATATAATTATTTCGAAAATTCAAAAAATTTATTCTTAAAAAATTTCCGGTACTTATTGAAAATTATTTTGCCTGCAAGATTCTAGATTTCATCGTAATTTTTTATGAAATTAATTAAATTTCTTTAATGAACAGGTATTTGAAATTATTTATCTAATTATTTATAAAAAATTGAATTATTTAAAATATATATTATATAATATATGTAAGCATACAATTTTTTTCATTTTTTCCCAAAAATCAAAATAATTTTTTTTAAAAATATTCTAATTTTTTTTAATCTCTGTCATCCATTTTTTAAAGCAATATGAATTAAAAAAATTTGATGCTTGAAATTATGTTGATGTGTATATTAAATTTAAATGAAACAATTTTTTGAAAAAATTTGAAAATTTAGATTTATAAAGAAATAATTAAATATTTCATAATTTTGAAATTTTATTTTTGTAGAATTATCACTAAAAATTAATTCGTTAAAAATTTGTAATATTTAGAATTTACCTATATTTGGAATTATAATTATGTGGGTTTTCAAATTTTTTTCCAACTTATATGACTCTTAAAATTTCCAAAATTTAAATTTATGTAATCATATATAAATCATAGTTTGCATTATAAAGTCAACACAATGAATAAATGCAAGCCACATAGTTAAATCATCTTAATTTGTATATTTATTATAACTTTAAAAAAATTATTGTTTTGCATATCAAAATTTAAAATTTATGTTTTTGCAAATTGGCCATTTTCATCTTTATAATTTTTTTAAAAAAATTTAATTTTTTTTTTTGCAAATGAATATAAAAATAACTTTCATTAAAGTTTGTCACAAGTCACATACAACAAAAAAGCAAATTTCATTTCTCAAGAATTTAGATATTGAAGATAAGATGTTATTCATATATCATGATAGGTGTTACACGTGTTATCATAACATCATTTTTATCTATCCTATATCTTCATGACAGGTATTGACGAATGAAGAGTAATAGTCCGAGATTACATAATAAAAAACAACTGTTGCTTACCAACTGCAACCGAGTGCGGTTGTGATAGTACAAATGGCTCCAAACGTTGAACTTCACATCGTAATTTTTTTGCAAATGAATTTAAAAATAACTTTGATTAAAGTTTGTCACAATTCACATACAACAAAAAAACAAATTTCATTTTTCAATAATGTAGATATTGAAGATAAAATCTTATTCATATATCATACATATATATGCTATATTTTCATAATATGATTAGTTTAAGAAATTTAAAATAGTTTGTTAAATTTGTGTGTATTACAAATATTTTATATATAATAAGGTTACTTCAATTAAAATTTTATACTAGAAAATAAAAAAGCATATAATAAATGACATAATATTAAAATTAATTAGATTTGATATCAATAAAAAATGTAAAATTGTAATTTTATTTTATAATCAGGTATTATTATAATAGCTTATTATAAATTTTTGAATATTTTCATAATTAAAATGCAAGATCTCAAAATAATTTATTTTAATTTCATTTGACATCAGTTGCATATTTTATTAAAACATATGCATATTCAATTCATAATTGGAAAATATTTATTTTTAATTTTTAATAGAATTTGTTGAATATATTAAAAGAATTATTTAAAAAGTTAACTTACTTACATAGTATTAAAACTAAACTAGTGTTAGAATTAAGTAATTTGATTTTTGTATATTTTTGGGTTAGATTTTCAAAAAATTATATTATATTGATATATTGAAAGTTGATTTTTCTTATATGTAATATACCTTTAATTATATATAACTGTCATTGAGGGAAATAGAGGAGTTATACCCGAGGGTGCAATTATATACAGAGCTAGTATGGGCTATCAAAAAACATATAATTACAAAAGGTACCATCTAATGATAAGATGAGCAAGATGATTGAATGCACAAACTCAATAGGACTAATAAAATAACAGTAGCTCAAGCATTCCGCAGCCGTGCTTTTACTCCCAATGAAGAAAGTAGCGTGGTAACAGTGTGAGCATCAAGCTAGCCCATCTATGTGTGTCAAGCATTGATCTATGTCAATCTACTACAACCTAGCTTGGATGTTGATAGACGTTGGAAGAACGCAACTATAATTGTATATTCCATCTTGAAATAGGAAACTCATCTCCAACCCTCTATAGATTAGACATTATAAAAATAGATGTATAATATACCTAATACTATGGGAGATGATGACTAATTTCAGTAAAGTGCAAATAGTCATACTTCCGGACTTCAAACTTCTATGGCAACACCACATTATCTAAAACAATGGCTACCATTTGCAAAAAAGCAGCAGCTCCACGAACAACACATTTAAATCTTTTGCATCATGTGGTTTGTCGCTTGTTGAGAAGTACTTGCAGAGTGGCGTGATCACCTCTATTCAGTGTAGATTGTGCTTTGCTTTTGGCTACGAAAGCAAACCAGATGCAAAGAGAATGGAAACTAATAATTAAAAGACCTTTGGTCTTGTCTTTCGGCCAAAGAACTACCGCATTCATTTGAAGCTCGACCACAAGAAGTGGACGCTGCCTTGCCTCAAAGGATAATTTGAGCAGTTGTGTCGGTTTGTGGGCAAGCTTGTTTCATCATTTTTGAACACAACACCTGTGGAAAGCAACTTTTTGCATTACAAATTTTGCAAAGACGTCTTCAATAAAAACATGACCAACATTTTTCAGCAATCATTTATCCCATGCAAACAGTAGTACATGCTCCCTGCCATCCAAATGAAGCATATCTTGACTTGCTTGCACAAGTACATAACAAAACTACTAGAAAAAAATAATTTAGATAGACGTCTAATCAATGACCACTTTTTTAAAAAAAATGTGCATAATTCAGCTAAGATTAGGCATATTAGTCATTTGCCTAATCTACATAGAGTTCCTCATCTTTTTTTTTGTTGTGCTTTGTTGTTTTTACTTTATTGATGAATTTTTACTTTCCATAAGTTTGTTAGTCAATGGAAGGTAAAAAGGTTGGAGCTTTCAGTATGACAATCACATGGATTAATAGAAGGAGTTGAGAACTATGTTCTTGTGAGTATAATAGTCGCAGTTTCGAAAAAATACGATTGTGCAGCTCTAGACCTGAGCAATCTAAGCAATTGTGCAGAGTACAGCTATATACCGCGTCTGGCATCCCGCTATTGAAGAATGTTTAATTATGCTATTTTTTATTTAGATTTGTAACAAATTATATGAGTTGCATTAAATTTTCTTAGTTGAGTTTTTCTAATTTGAATGTTATTATATTTTTTAATTATCCTAATTTGAATGTATTTTTTGTATTTTTTATGCTATTTTTTATTTTATTTCGTAAAAAGTTACATGAGATCAAATTAAATTTTCTTTTTTTAGTATTTTTATTTTTATATTATTATAATTTTAGAAAAAATATTTTATAAATAAAATTTTCAAATTATTCCAATCATGAATATCATAATCATGAATTATTATATTAAATTCATAATTAATATTTAAATTTTAATCAATAATTTAAAAAATATATATTAACATTTAAAAAAAATCAAGAAAAAAACTAAAGCAAACACAAATATATAATTGGAAAGTTGATCATTGTATGAATAAAAACTTTATTTTTAATCAAAAGTTAGTCAATGATATTTATTGTTTTAACATTATGAACTATATATGTTTAATATCGCATCAGATCTACAATGTGTTAATGTAATTTTATAAAAATATGAGTACATACAAATAATTTTATTTATTTATTTTGAAAATTTAATTAAATATTAAAAATATTTTTATAATACAAAGTCTGGAAACAGAGTCTTCAGTATTAGATTTAATAAATCTAATACTGAAATAGCACCTAAAATTGCTAATTTATATATAAAATATAAATTTTTATTACTGGTTATTTCTAAAATAGTTATCATTCAATTTTGCATGATGTTGTTATATGTAAATGATAAAACTGAGAAAATATTAAACATAGCAAATCAAATCACAACTGAGACATGTATCATGCTCAAGAGTAGAAAAGCTACGTCCACCTAGAAAGTCACTCACACGCAAGAGTTATACTCAAAAAGTGTGTCAGTAATACACAAACCCTGGAGTATAAATCAACCCGCATTGAAAACCCTCATAGCTATTATTAGTTAAGATTTGAGGTTACACTTTAAACCGGAGTTAACCTCAACTTTATAGTAATTGACAAATTTTATTTTATTTTGCTGCCGCTAATTATTGTATTATTTTTCAGAATCTAAAAAAGAATATTAAAATCTATAAAAGTATTATTTATATGTGCTATTCATTTATAGATACAATGATTGCAATTAGGTTTAGCTTGAAATCTATATAGCTATAAATTATAATCATTTAAAAAAGTTAATTTCAAATTTTTTAAGCAAAATAAATTTCAATTTTGAGGAATTTGAAATCTTTTAATGTAATATTGCAATTGTATTTCTGTTTTTCAAATGCACAAAAGTTTCTTAATCATGCATTCGAGAAAATTATCATTTACATGCTTAAAAATATTAATGAAATTTTTTTTTATTTTCAAATTTCAATAGTATTTCATTCATATAAGATAATTTGCATTTGGAACTTAAAACTTTATTTTTTGTTACGTTGCACATGTTATTATTTTAGCATTTTGTGAAATTTAATTAAAAATTAATATTCTTTATCATTTTAATAATATAAAAAAGAAAAGTTGCCAATCAAAAGTAATGTAGACCGTATGATATATTGATAGTAATATTTGATATGCAAAATAATGTTAAGATATATATTTTTTATTTCTGAAACAATTTTAAATATTAAAAATAATTTATATTTTTATCCTTTACAATTTTATAAAATTTTAGCAATTTCAAACAATTAATTCACAAAAATTGTTTTTTTATCATAATAATTGCATATATAAATTTATTTGAAGTGATAAAATAATATATTAATTAAGTTAAAGTTAGTATTTACTTTTCTTTTTCATTATGTTTATGTGATTGTTCTCATGTTTTTTAAATAAAATTTGAATCATTTTTCATAAGTATAGTTTTATGTTTATTGAAGTAGATCTTTTGATATCTATGACATACTTTGAGACATTGTTAATGAATAAAAAAATATGCTAAATATATATATCCCTGTAATTTTTAATATTATATTTTTTGTAATATAAATCTTTTAATTTGTAGCTATATTTATGAAGATTTTGCTTGCTTTTATTGATGAATTTAATAATTAATTTAAATTAGAAATAGAGTAAGAACCTAACATTTAAAATTTCAAGTTGAGATGAAATAATGAAAAGGAAGATCGTTAGGAAAAAATATACTAAAAGAGTAAAAATTTACGAGTGGTGATCAAAGTTGTTTGTTCAAATTAGGAATATATCACTAAAGTCAAAACGAAAAAAATGTTTTTTCCTTGAATGCAAGGCTATAATCCAATGTAAACAATATGATGAGGAGTTCATCAAATCATCAAAATTTGTGTTATAGTGGACTAAGAACTAGACTAGATGCAGTTTGTCGGATGGAGATCTTTTGGCGCATTTCATATTATTGAAATTGTTCATCTAACAAGAAAATATGATAAATAGAAATTGTATTGATGTAGAGTTTGATGCTTCACCTAATCATTGAACTTTTCGACGTGCATGTCATGCTTCAAATGCGCTGAGATTTGACATCTACTTTCCTTCCGTAAATAGTTTACAAGTGAACCTGCAATTTTCTTCTCAATATATGCAATCTGGAAAATTAAGTCTGCATCTTTGCATCATCTCCGATCCAACAGCCATGGACTTCCGGAATTTGGAAACGTGCTTGGACCATGCATAAACAAATGAATGGCGTGGCATAATCGCGAGGGAGTAGATACTGGATAGAGAGAAATCCACAAGAGATCCATGTCCGCCATCCACGATGCCTGGGCAGCCTTCAAATGTTGGACGTCTCCCCACAATGGACTTGCGCCTCCGGAGCTCGGAACAGCTCGAGCACCGACGTCTTCACTGCGACAGGCCCGGGGAAAAAATGGAAATGGATGAGCCGCTGCCCGAGAATACATGAAAGAAACAGAACGGATAACGAGGAACGGGGAGCAGCAACGGGATTACAGCTAGAGAACAAAGCCGGCAAATCTCAGCGCCACGTGCTTGGCCATCCTTGAGTGCGGGAACATTCCCTCGATGTCAGAGAGGCTTCGGCGTCGGCGTCGGCATCGGCCTCGACGCTGACGCCGACGCCGACGATGAGTTAGTGTTGAGGGCTGCTCAAATAACCGTTGTCCGCACCCGTTGCACGCCGTAGGGGCTTTATACGGCATCGCGCTGACGTACGTTCCGGCCGTTTGACGAAGAGGCGGCCGAGGAGGCGTTCCGTCAGTCCGTTTTTCTTCCGGTCGTCGACTTGATAGAGGTGCCGTCGTGTGCATGCCCTCTGCTCATTGCGCTGCGGCTCCGGATGTCTTCCTTCAACTGCAGCACGCACTCGCCGCTTCGAAGCAGGACACGGGGGAATTCGCATACGCCCGCTCGCCGGGCTCTCGTCGCTGGATCCTGCCGGATGAGGAGAATGATCTGATCGACAGAAGAATCTTCAGAGTGCTGTGGAGGTTGAACAACAGCTGAAAGGGCGGAATTGGATGCAGCCGAATTCCGCCTCCCTGTAGTTCTGAGTGACTCAGATGAGGCAAGCAGCAGCTCAAGGACGAGCACGACGAGCGAGGGGTGTGGGTGAGCTCGAGCTGGAAATTCTGCCCGAGCCTGAAATATATAATCCGTCGATTTGAGGGGATGAGATTGGCACTGTCGAACGAGAGTTGAGGTTCAACAATTGGATCGTCCGAATCGCCAGGCAGGGAACCAAAGAGGAAGGACGTCGAGGGCAGAGCTCCGAGGCCCGAGGAGAATTCCGAGATTGCATGTCTCTGCCCGCCCGCGTCTCGCATTGGCGTTGCGCTTGGCCGCTTGGAAGTGCGCGGGGAAGGCAGTGAGAGCGGTGATGCGCGAAGGATGCACGGCACTGATGGGCTCATCGGTGCATGGAGCGAATGGGTATGGATTTCTGGACGACGCCTCGTTCCGGCACCAGGACATGCCGAAGATCCAATGCCTGGACCAGCACATGGTGTTCTATGCCTCGTCGCCGGGACTGGCTCCGAGCATGTCCATGAGCAGAGATGAGAGGTGCAAGTATGTGAAGCCCGAGAGCGAGCTGGTGATCCACGTCCTTGACGACCGAGCGGATGAGGCTGAGGTCTGCCATGCTCGAGATTTCGCGCCATGGCCCAGCGACGAGGCCGACCCGTGAAGCCTGATGTTCTCGTCAAAGATGAACCTGCCGCCAAGAGCCGAGTTGATGCTCGTCAATTAAATGCCGCCAAGGCAATGGCCGACAGTATTCAATCGCGCAAGCTTTCCTCAGTATTGCCAAACGAGCAACGGCTTCAGGAGCAGAACAAGCGTCTCGAACTGCAGCTGAGTCAACTTCAGGAGGAAATAGCTGAGAAGGACCATGAGGTACTAATCGTTTCAATCTCATTCACATGATACTCCGTGTATGCATTCGGCATAGAATTACCTCGACCTGAAGTGCATCTGCGCGTGTTATGGTCACCCTCTTTTGAAGGATTGCATGTTCATTGAGCTAAATATTGCAATTGTCTTCGTGAGTACAGATTGAAAGGTTAAGGAGTGCAGGCCGCTTATTGAACGCCCAGAGGTACGAGATTAGAGATCTGAAATTCAAGCTCAGAGAAACATTCAACGAGAATGCCGAAGTGCCGGACGTGTGTGAGAAGCTGGAAAAGGAAAAGGAGGCGCATGCGGCTCGGAAGAAGGTAACAGACGAGGAGCAGAATAGCAAGGCTCTGGAAGTGCAATTGGCTCTACTCACGGACCAGCTCCACAACATGGGCGTCGGCCTACCTAAGATTGCTAAGGCTCATTCACCACCTTTTCATGAATGTTACAAGGACTGTTCTTCAATTTAGTTCACTCAACGCGATTATGATATATCCTACAGTCAGAATACTCATCGTGGCTTTCTGCACGTCTGTCGCAGTCTAGCAACGAACTACTATTCTTGAGCGAAATGGAGCTCCGCCGAAGATCAAAATGTCGCTGGGCTTCCGGTGGAAAGCGGTACGGTTGAAGAGGTACACTGTGAACAGATTTATTTTGACTGACCATACATCAGTTTGCTTGCACAATTAAAATGAATGTGAGGGTACATTTGTCGCCCATCCTTACAGTCGGTGATCTTGGATTGGGCCTCTAGAAGTGATCTGCAAGTTTGTCTGTTAGTGGCCCGCTCTTGTTAGACCATTGGAGGTCAGTGAACCTTCGATTCTGAAGGAATTTAGAGTGTCAGGAGATTATGACACGATCTATCAGATCCTAAAAGACATTCCGAGTATCTCTTTGGCCTAGACCTTCGAAATAATTATCAGGCTGAACAAGACCTTAGATCCTTCGGCTGACGTAAAGTTTTCGTCGTTTGGTACATTTTTCACGTAATGTTGGGAACGCCATACCTCCAGTTTGCATGGCAACTGACTTCTGTCATACTTCAGACTCTGACCATCCTTGTAGAAAAATTGTTGAATTCTAACGCGTTATCTGTTCAAAGTCCAGGATAACTCTCTGATCGAAATCAGATCTAACGTGCTGAAAGAGTAGTCGACCTCAAGGGCTAATCCTGACGTGAAGAAAACCCAAACAGATACCCCGAGGAGATGAACGCAATTGATGCTCCTCTCATCGAGGGTGATTGAATTTCATAATCCTTGCCAGAAATGGAGCAAGTAGGGGATACTGAAGGTACTGTAGGATCACCAATTTTTCAACTGCACTCTCTCTGTAGCCGATTTATCATGCAAACTCCAAAGAAAGCTGATGAAGTTATCTCCAATCGAATCTGATGGACCGTATAAAGTAATAATACCACACAGTTGCGACTACAGCTCTAAGGATTGCGTCGGTAGTCTTTGTTCCTCCTTTCGTTGAATGTTTACACAGAGACAAAGAGGATGCGGGGCATGAACTCAGGACTCGAAATATTTCATGTCCTGAGTTCTTGGCATGTCAGTGATTGTTCGAAGCATTAAAGCTGTCAGGCTCTACCTGGTGATAGTAGTTACCTGAATTGAGAAAGTTCGTGTCCATTGAGAGGACGACCAGATGTGCAATCCACATTGATGATTCCATATGTAAGGATGAGCTGATAAGCTCTTCGGATAGTCCAGTCAAAAGACCAACAATGGATTAGCACAGCTCGTGAGAACCAAAGACATCGTCCATGGGCGGAGAGCAGAGATAAGTGATATGGATGGCTCCATTCTAGGCTTGGAAAGTAGCACCCATTCACGGTTTGAAACATTTTCGGTTACAGAATGAAGTTTACAACTTCCTGAGAGGTTGATCCAACTCTGTCAGTCTCACTTTTAACTTCGCGCAGAGTTCGCGTTTCGTACGCTTGGATGGTTTCAATTTATCTGTCTCGCCCTCCAAAATGAAATATCACAGACATTTGCATGCATAAAAGCAGTGGAAACAGTACCCATCTTAAATTAAACCTGGCCGATGCTTGAGATAACCTGAATCTATTCCGAAGATAAAAACTTAGGCTCATCAATCTTGGGAGTATAGCATGATGAGCCTTGAAGTTGGGTTGAACCTTGAAGGTCGGGTCTAAACCTTCCCACCCTCTCCCAGATTGGCCTCGAAGGAGCAGCATTGAGGTTAGAAACCTCTGAAGTCAGATCAAACTTTGCACCCAATTTCGACAAGACATTCCCACGGAGGCGTCCAAGAAGCGACGAACACTGTACAAACAACACCAGAATAATCAGAAGCACATCCCCTGATCCTCATACTATTGTTGAGAAGTTCCATCCACGAAAGAACGAGGAACATTCAACACTTGGCCATCGGACTCTAGGTCCTAGACAGTCAGCACCACTTTCATAACACCTATTCTCGAGAAGACATCAAATTGGACCAAAATCATGTGGCAGGACTTCAGCCGAGCTCACCGTGGTGCGTGTATAGATGTAACCTGCTGTATATGTAGACATGATCGCCCTTCTCCAGATCTACGGCGAATTTAGTTCTGAAGACAAAGTAGGATATTCGCTTTTTAACGCGTTTCGGTGATCTGAAGAGCAGACATGTCGAGTCTTGACTGTAGCCGCTATTGAGCAAAAGCTTAATCCCCCATGGCATAGGCTGGGAAATTGTAACAAAAAGTGATTTCTGGTTTCGAAATGCGCCGCATGATTAATCAAAATTGCATGAATGGCAACATTTGGTTCCATTCTAACTTTGAGAATGAAATTTACGGAAGAAAATTAGCAACTGAAATTTCTCCTCAAAATGGGATGCACTTAAAAATCAAAATGGATATAATTTGAGCTAGAGCATTAGTAGTTCACTCATCTAGTTTCTTGAATAAACTGCAGTAGTATCATTTTTGGAATTTTACATGCATTTGGAAAACTCCGATTCATCACATATCTGCAAATCCTTCTGCATATATACATCCAGACACAGACACCTGTTTGCTTTCGTATTGTGGACATGAGGTTATACGAGGAGGCAAAAAGGAATTCTGACGGGAATAAAAAACTAGCGAGTAAAAGAGTGATCGATCCAATCTCTAAATATGTTTCCAACTGAGTGGATTAGCTGATGAGACAGAAAAGAGGATTTTCTCGCTGAGACACAGGTAAAGATTTAGATAGCATTCTAGTCGAAGGAAAAAACTCAAAATGGAAACTTGAACTCCAGTGCACCCACAACTTATACACGAATCTGCACAATCACAACAGAGAAGGTTCGCGGAGCTGGTGCTCCGCAAGGGTACAATAAACGAGAAGGTGACTGAGCTCTGGTGAAGATTGTGATGGGTTATGTTTTTCTTGCAAAAGCAGCTTTCGTTTGCAAAATAGATGGATGAATACAGAGAGAAGGATATAGAAACTTGGGTTCTAATCGGCTTACTGTTAAAATTGAGCATGCTGCAAACGCACGCTATAGAAGTAAGTCACAGCTGCACTCTGACTGACCATTTCGAATTCAACTGAGGTCAATCCGTTGGATGTGCGGTAGATTTTCGGATCTCGGACAACCGTTAGTGTGAACGTTTAGTTTCTACATGCACGACATTGGTCCTTGAAATATCTGCACCAACAATTTGACTAAGTTCCCATACACTCGGTACCGACAGGTTTCAACGATCAATCGCAACGAGCGTGTATTTTATTACCAAATGAATGTTGACTGTTTTTAGGTTGAAAATATGTGATCTGTATTGGCTCCTCGCAGTTTTAGGAAGTGCTTGGAGAATTTTGGAACGAAGACTTTTACGTTTCTAGATTGGCCCTTCCACGTGATGTACATGATTTTAGATGTTGAATCTGCACTTCGAGTGTAAGAGAGTTTGATATGATTCTTTACTGCTTGCAGCTGCACTGACAATGATGTTACGGAGATGTAGGTAAGAAATGAGAGTTAAAATTTGAGCGTTATGCAGGTAGATGTCAATTTTTTGCTACATTGCATATAGTATTCAGATTTCCATTGATAGTGAAAGATTTGTAAGTGTTTACTGTATTTACGTTACACGGAGAGAAGAAACTGTTCCGAGAATGGTTTCTTCCTCAGTGATCTGTTTCCGATATTTGGATTTTATTGGTTTTCGCGGTATAATACCCACGCGAAGTTGTTATATGGTTTTTCTGGATGAAGGTCAGGTCGAGGAGGTTATGTTACACAGGCTACTGTTGCATGTGTCATCTATTATATCTGGAGGAGTAGAAGTGGCTGTGTACATGTGGAATACTAAGTCTTCGATGGTAAGATTGACTTTAGTTTGTAGCTTTTTATTAGTCGAGAACAATCTGAATCGCGTAGAGACAAGGGTGGTACACATGTGAAACACCGAAAAGAGTGGGCATTTGATGCGGCGTATAATGTCTACACTCAAATGTGTACAGAAATGTCGTTGGATCTCTAAGATCTCAAGAATAGCCCTCTGTGATGAAAAAAGTGAGAAACTTGACGTTTGACTCCTCCCTGAAGAAGCCATCAGCGAAGTCATGAATCGATAGCAAATTTCCTTTCATCACAATCGTTCATCACAGATCTTCTTACGACTGTATACGAGAGGGTGCACTGTCAGGTAGCTAATGTCAGATGCAAAAGATTGAAGAAGTGGCAATTCCACAATGATATCTGGATCGCAAGTTTGTGAGGTGAACAAATCTGCAAGTCCAGATGAAGAACCAATGACGAGGGAAATGTAAGTGCGGAGACGAGATTCCAGTTGCAGCTAGATACATAATTTTCAGCTCATACATGACCAGCAATCAGAAGGCGTAATACAAATAACAATCAAAGAAACATCTCATACGTCCATGTACCTGGAGCTTTGGGCTGAATTAAGAATGTACTTGTGATGAACTCGTGGCCATGGGATAGCCACCACCGTCGAAGTCCCAAGCTCCGGGAGAGAACAGTTACTGATGTGAACTCGCTCATGAAATCTCAGACTTTATTGACTTACGAAGATCGAGTGTAAAAATTATAGCATTGAAAATCGAATCTTTTACAAATTGCTAAGTCACATTCACGACATCAGCGCAGAAGAAGTATATAATCATCACTGAAGTTTCGGAAGATATTATGTACGGCAGGGGCATGTCTGATAATCAACGTAAGGATCTGAGAACCAAAGGCGAGTTTCGAGAGCTAAATAAAGAGAGCTGGCGAAAGCAGTGGCAGCTCTGACTTTTCACGTGGATGTAGTCGCGAATAACGAAATTGTTAACTATTATTAGAATGCAGAAAATGTCAAACTTTCTTATAGAATACGTATCGAGGGCTTTCCTCTCATACACTTTATCTTGTGTCGTGAAATTATGCTGATAGTTTTCTCTTGTACGGAGAGATCTCTGGGCTGCAATTATTCTCTATGCAGCGCAAGGCATGTTAACTTCATGGAAGATTAGATACTGGGCTCTAGTATTGACGCAACATCTTAAAATAATGGTCGCGTGCAAGGAATGATACAACTCTGTCTAGTTCAAGAAGATGCAGTCTGGTATTTTGAGTCGAAGACCAGATGTAGAATCATTATATATAAATCATGCGTAGGTCAATTTGAAGCACTACTGTCTCTGCAGTATTCACGTTTTTTTCTAGTCGCAATTTCTCTCTCAGCTCCCATGACCATAGCTGTGTGAGTGGGTGTGTGGACTGGCACTTCATCTGATTGCAGCGCAGTGAAATTCATCGAATGAAACACCCTCAAATCTTGCCAGCTTGAATTGAGGGTGTTTCATTTGATGAAATGAATGAGACACCCTCAATTCAAGCTGGTGAAGCTTGTGACCTTTTGACTTCACACGCCCGAAACAATGCAATAACAGGCCTTCCCACTTGAAATCGTATACATGCATAGTATTTACAAGAGGTTCGGTTAATCGCGATCCATGCTTCCTTTGTGATCAATCTGTGAACCATGTGGCACTTGCTTCTTCGTCTTCTGCGAATTTCTTCTGTAATTGCCTTGCCCTCCACAGTCGACTAGTGGCTAACACGTTGGGTCTGTGGATGGCCCATGGCGCACTCCAAGTGGCCGTGAGAGAAATCTTCTCATTACAGAATCACTTGTTGGGCTTAACATGTCCTCCTGCGGGATTTGGGATTTCCACCCGGAAGGCATCTTGGCGCTGGGCCTTCGCTTTCGGCTTTGGGCAGCAGGCCTGCTTATGGGACTAGGGGGCTTAAGGAATGCAACCAGCTGAAGGCTGCCCTTGGACGACTGGGAGTTTACAAGCTCTCCCGCATCTGAAGTGCAAGTGCTAGGTGGGTACCGTCAGTGAAGAAAATGAAGTATATGCTCCAATGTTCACCTTGTACTCTTTGTTGGTCTCAAGTGTTGAAGGATCGAATCAAAGCAACGGAAAACGCTTTTGAAAACTCTTCTAACTGATGGGAAGAACTCACTAAGTAATAAGTAGATAGGGCTAGCCCCAATAGCAAGAC